CAAACTTGCTGTTATGGGCATAACCAATATAATTATAAATAATTCAAAATAAACCCATCATCACAACATATATACTTTCAACACTCGTTCACATATATTTCTGTCCAAAATAGCGATCAAGTAACACAAGAAAGACAGAAACAAACACAAAACAAAATGATGATTCTAAGGCTGGCTCTCGCCGCCGTCATCTCCGCCTCCGTGGCCGCACAATCAGCCTCATCGACGTCGCTTATAACATATGTATTTGGCGATTCGTTAACCGAAGTTGGTAACAACAATTATTTGCAATATTCGCTTGCGAGATCAGACTTTCCATGGTATGGGATTGATTTCACCGGCGGCAAAGCTACCGGAAGATTCACCAACGGTCGGACTATCGGCGATATCATATGTACATTCTGTCTCTTTCTCCATATAAACATATACATATAAGTATATGTACACATGCATGATGCATTAATTATCATGTACATATGTGATATGTGGACATCTATACTTATATACATCCTTCACCTTTTATTTTACTATTTACCATTTCTGCTTGTATTCTTGTGACGCATATATTAGATTTTTAAAAATATTTACTCTAACATCCAAAAATATTTATATACATGTTTATTATAGCTACAAAGCTTGGGATTCCATCGCCGCCACCATATCTATCGTTATCACAAAACGACGACGCGTTTCTCAACGGTATCAATTACGCATCCGGAGGAGCTGGAATACTCAACGAGACCGGCCTTTACTTCGTATTACTCTTAGTCATATTTTCTATATTCTATTTAAGAATTTTTTTTAAGATTTAATTGTTTAATATTATTTTTTATATTTTTGATCGAGCAGATTCAAAGGTTGACTTTTGATGATCAAATAATTTGTTTCAAGAAAACTAAAGAAGTTATTAGGGCGAAAATCGGAGATAGAGCTGCGAACAAGCATGTAAATAATGCCATGTACTTCATTGGCTTAGGTATTAATCAAATTTCGACCATTTGGTTTCAAATTTTGTTTTGGTTTTATAGGTCCTTCCCTTTGCAGAGAAGTAATTTTTAATTGCGTTTTTTTTCCATTCTAAATTATAGGAAGCAACGATTATGTAAACAACTTCTTGCAGCCATTTATGGCAGATGGGCAGCAATATACACATGATGAGTTTGTCGAACTATTGACCTCAACCCTACACAACCAGCTTACGGTATTCCGTATTCGAACCGCAACCCGCTTCAGCTTTCATTTTCATTTAGAATATTATTGGGAGATTGATCAGATCAACCATATCAATATTATAGAAATCAGAAAATATATAAGATAAAAAAGTACTCATAATTTTATAGATCTTCTTGATTTCGATAATCTTGATATGATTGATCTCATTGATTGTCCCAAATATTAATCTTGATTTCGATAATCTTGCTAAATTTCATGTACTTGTTACTTGGCTGGACTCGTTCAAATAATTAGATTTATTACTTGTACTTGATCCGGTTATAACAAGTACTCGTAATTTCAAATACTCGTAAAAATTTTGAATACTTAATACTTGAATTTGAAATACTTGATACTTGAATCTTGAACACATATTAAGAAAAACCCTATATCGACAATGATAAATTACACTTGGGTTTTTGGATTTTAATATCAAAGACTCATGTATATGGGATCATGAGTTTTAAAACCACCATACAATTTGTTACAAATAGAGTTTTTTTAAATTTTTGATAGTTTTTAGGTTTAATTTTTGGATTTTAATATCTATTATAGATTTTGTTATTAAAATTAAATAAGTAATAAGTATTTAGTAATAAGTAGCAAATATTTATTTTAATAAGTAACAAGTATCAAGTAATAAGACAAGCTATATTATTGTTTTTTTTCTGGAAACTCAAAATAAAAAATTTACATTTTTATGTTTCTAATCTTCAGTACTTTAATTAGTCTTCACCAATCCTACTTAAGGGTATTTAGTATTCACCTAATAAAAAAATAGTCAACGGATATTTACCTAATAAAATGCTAGTATAAGTTAACTGATTGCTGATTGATTAACCCATGAAATATTTGGGTTTTTGGAATCAGACACTATACAATTTGGGAGGCAGAAAGGTATTATTTCATGGACTAGGCCCATTGGGATGTATCCCATCACAAAGAGTGAAGTCGAAGACAGGCATGTGCCTGAAGCGTGTCAACGAATGGGTAATGGAATTCAACTCAAAAACCAAGAACCTTTTAGAAGATCTCAACAAACGTCTTCCCGGAGCTAAATTCGTCTTCGCCGACACTTATCCTGCCGTTCTCGATCTCATCAACAATCCCACTCGCTATGGTAAGAAAAATCTAATTAATTTCTTTAAATCAAAATTTAGCGTTTGGATTTCTGAACCTTATACGTATTAATGTTATTGATGATAAAAACTAAACAAGTTATTTCGATGATTAGATAATTTGAGTATTTGAAGAAGGTATCGTCGTTTTTTCTTATAAGCACTAGTTTGCGTTTTGTTTCATTAACGCAAATGCGGTTTTACAATGAACGTAGGGTTTAAGGTGGCGAACACGTCGTGTTGCAACGTGGACACGAGCGTTGGAGGTCTTTGTCTTCCCAATTCAAAGATGTGTAAAAACCGTAAAGACTTTGTCTTTTGGGATGCTTTTCATCCGTCAGATTCAGCTAATCAAATCCTAGCCGATCATCTTTTCTCTTCTCTTCTCTCTTCTCCTTCTCCTTCTCCTTCTCCTGCTCCTAACCGCCATTAGTATAGTGTTTGGATTTAATAAATGTACTAAACCAATCTCTTGTCATTTACTCTTTAAACCGGAACTATTTGCTAGACGCATGTGTAATTAATTATATTATTTGTTATTGGTGTAACCAATCGGGACAAGTATGTGTAAGTATCATTTATTATGAGATATAAGTATGGTTTTTGTATGTTTCGTGAAATCATCTTTTCAGAGCTCGCGCGTGTTTAGGGTCCCTGAACATATGTTAAACAATAAATGAAAACTGAAAAGATCTTCGTCATGCAACCAATTAAATATTTGTTTTGTTTTTTACGTTTCTATTGGTTTAAGATTAGAGTCGAGAAAGAATAACTGGATACTGTATCACAAAACTGAAAACGCCAATAAAAGAATCATATTCATTAATTAATAACAGACTCATTACGCAGGACTGGTTTGACCATCCATTTATCATAGATTTAAACTCTTGATCTGTAACCAAAGGTGTAGTGAATTTATATCAACAAATAAAATAGATAAGCTAAAAAACACAATAAATTTGTTTCCAAGAAATATGAATTCATTACATTAACATAACCATTTTATTTTGGTTGAATAACTTCTCATTAAAGAAGAACAGCATCTCCACACGTACTTATTAAACTATTTATAATACCAAATATATCATCTCTTCATTATTAATTATACTTAATTTAATTCAACTTCTATTGATTTTAATAATTGGTACGTAGAAAGTAGAAAATATAAAACATATTTCAAATGAACCACTAATTAATTGATTACCATTTTTCAAACAGCATGCACAAGTTAACGATTTCCAAGGTGACATTTGAAAATTTCGAACCGACATTAACTGAAGAAAAGTGGAGAGTATTAAAATTGGAAGAAATGATTATTGTGTCGCTCAAGATGGATTTTACGTATGACATAATGGATTTGATTAAGTGATGGAGATGCAATGGTGACTTTATTATTTATTTAATTTATCTTATAAATAGATGATTACATTTTGGGTTTTTCTGATAAAATTATGTAATAACTATTGTAATAATATTAAAGTTTTTAAAAATGTTTTAAAAAATGGGTTAGGAAAAACATTATTAACTCACACGTACTTTTTCTGTATATGGATTCATCATCAAACACAAAATTCTTCCAAATATTTGTCTTGGGTCTTAAGGTTTAAACACTTACATCTATTTATTCAATATTCTTAGACTTTTAATAATATGGATAAGTTATGGTCTTCTTCTGAATATATTGAACAAGAATTTTGAGAGAGATGTGATACTATGATCATGGTGTAAGGGAAATAATATTGCAAGATGTTGTAAAAAGTATTCTTTGTGACAAGAAAGTCTAAAACAAATTTATATAGCATGAATATAATAACTTGATTTGGATATTTTATAAATTGTAATGTGCGGTCCGACTAAGATTCTAAAACAATTAACATACTAATTTCTTAACTTTTGTGGTTTTGTTTTTTCAGAATATTGATTTTTTAAACAAATAAAAGATTTATTATTCCTAATTATCAAAAGATTGATTGTTTTATGAAAGATTATTTTTATAATCGTTGCCTATGTCTTTTCATTGGCTTTGTCTTTCCAAACTACTACAAAAGTAATAGATAAGTATCATTTTGTTACAATCTTGTAAGGTTTTATTAATAAATAAATATTTTTCACGTAAAGCAATTTTTTTTGTCAAAAACATTTATTAGAGTATAATAAAAACCTTTTCAGACAATTCTTTAAATTTATGTATAAAATTTTTTAAATTCTCGATCAGTTTTCATTTTTTTAATTAAAAGATGCAGAAAATAAACAAATCTTCTTTAAAACGAATGAATAAAAAATTATAGCACGTAATAATTTCCAAAATGGAGTTTTGTTTAGTTTCCAAGAGAGGCTATATGTTTTAGTCTAATAATTAATATTATTAATTTTCAATTTAATAAATTATTACTGTTAAGAATTAATTTTTAAGGTTAAGTATTGACTTTTCAATTATTTCCAACTACACAAGTAAGATTTGTTTTTATTACTTGTATTTAAATTTTAATATTTATTTATTTCTCAATTATATTTAATTTTCTTTCCAAAAATCATATAACAGATTTTTTTTCTCTTTCGACCATCTTTTCCGTTTAATAAGATACATTACAGAATAAATTTTTCTTAATTATATTAGATTTTTATATATCATTTTGTTACAAGTTTTTAAAATAAAAATATTTTTCACATATGGAGTAAAAAAAAAATTTTGAGTCAAAAACATATATGGAAATCATGAGTGTATAATATCTATAGTAAAAAACATTTTAAAAAAGTATAAAACTTTTTTCAAATCCACACTAAGAAAGTATATGTACTTTTTAAACGAAATTATGATCTTTTAACATTAAAAAATTCACACAAAAAAGTAGGAGTATATGTTTTAGGCTAATAATAATCATCATTGCTATTACTTTTCAATTTAATTAATTATTACTGTTATACTCCATTAAATACCATCTCTCGCCTCTAGGGTATCCATTAAACACTCCTTAAGTTTTTTGGTTCGTCTCTCTCTCTCCAGTTTCATCACTTTGAAGAATCCCGAATCGTCTTTCTCCCTAAAAACTCTCATGGCAAAGAAGGGGCCCAAGCCAAGGAACCTCCTTGAGGGTCAAGCAAGAAGAGAAAAATCCGCCGATATATGAAAGTCTTTGGAAAAAGCACGATGAGAAGTTATTGCTCCAAGGAGCCATCGATTTTGGTGAGTGTCCGTTTGGAGATAAGGAGGGATTTCACCGACAGGTCGAGGGATCAATCAGCTTCGAGGCTAGCACGAACGAGATAATTGAAAAGCTAAAGAGATTAAAGATGAAATATCTCGATAACAAGAGAAAGGGTGTAGAGTCTTTTAAAAAAGCTCACGATGAGTTTTGTTTTCTTGCTTCCAATCATCTTTGGGGACCGGGTGGGATTTATGCGAAGGAAAAGAAGAACAAGACAAGCAAGGCGAAGAAGAAGAACGAGCCAAGCAAGGGAAAGAAGAAGAACGAGACAAGCAAGGTGAAGAAGAAGGAGGAGGTGGTGAAAGAAGAAGAAGAAGAAGATAAGAAAGTGGGGTGGGTTCTTGCAGAAGACTGGTTCGAGAAGTCCTATGTTGTCGGATCGATTGCTGGATCTGGTATCGATGAGGAAGCTGTGAAAGCAGGATGGAGAATGGCACCAATGGAAGAAAAAAAGAAGATTGAAGAAGAGTGGAGAGCGTTGCAATTGAAAGAACTGAGCTTTTTGTCGCTCAAGATGGAGTTTTTGCTTGAGGTAACCAAGATGCTTAAGTGATGGAGATGCAATAAAAATGGCTTTGTTGTTGTGTTTTTGGTTAAGTAGTTTATTTTATGTTATGTTTCTGTTTCGGATTGTTTCTTTTGTGATTTTGTCAATCTGTTGCCTTGAACAAAAAAAAGTTTCACTTTGTTTCTCAGAATATTAATCGATTGTTATTCTCTCTTTTTTTTTGTTTAAGCACCTTAAACACTATTTACTAGGAAAAAGTGTGAGGTATTAAGTACAAGAATTTGTTTAAATTGGTGTTTGTAAAGCGTAGCCAAAATGCATTGGTTCTTGGAAGACTAGCCGAATTGTTTATGATCATTGTTATGTGAAGTTGAAAAAGAAAAAACAAAGGATGGAAAAAGAAAAAGAATTTGTGACATGTAATCTTAGAGGCAACAAAAGCGTGACAGAGAGTTAACACAAAGTGACAAATAAAACCTTAAGGTCCAGATTCTTTCCCTTTACCTCTTCGCTCTGCTTCTCTCATTACCTAGAGGCAAGAAGGGGCTACGAAATATTTCCGAATTTTGTTTGATTCACCAAATTCAAGTATCCGAGTGTTTAATCTTCGAAAAGATCGATTCTTTTTCAGATGGGTCTCTGGGATTCGGTTCTAAACTGGCTCAGGAGGTAGATTTCTCGTTACCCTTGTTTGGATTTGTTATCAAATTAATCTCTTTGTTAATCAAGTTGGTTTAGTAATTTGGTACTTGATTTAGTCGAATTGAGATGGTAGGCTAAAAAAGTTGGTCTTTTTTGTTCTTTCCATTGATAGTAGTTATAGTTTTAGTTTCCTCCAAATATCAATCGTCAAAAAACACCTATTCTGCTCAGAAAGCGTCAAGCTTTTCTTGAGTCGCTTTTATTTTCTTGTTCTGTATACTTTGTTGTTGCGTTATATGGTTTGGTTTCCTTAAGAAATCTCCTTTCTTCTGTGTTCTTGTGTATTAATTCACTTTAGTAGGGTGAGAATTTCAATGCTTTATGAGGTGTTATTATGCATTTTAAAGCTTTTTTATGTGAAAAATCATTGGACTTGACTATGTTATGCATAACAGAGTAGTCTAGTGATCGGATAGTTTAAACACTTTGGATGAGCACAAATTTCTGCAGAATTACCATAAAAGGCTAACTTAGTGTTTGAAGAACAATCATTAACGGTTTAAAAAGTTGGTTTTAGTAGATTAATGATGTTTCGTCTTTTAATACACTCATAATATAGCAGAGTTACTTTTCAAAAACGTGGAAGTGTAATGAATCTTCGAAATGGTAGAAAAATTGGAGTATGAACATCTCTTCAATATTAGTTTTTGATTCACTGGTTGTATGTTGCTTTTGCCAGCTTGTTCTTCAAACAAGAGATGGAGCTTTCACTTGTTGGGCTTCAGAATGCAGGGAAGACTTCTCTTGTCAATGCCATTGCTGTGAGTAAACCTTTATAAGTTTCAGTCCCTAAATATAGTATACTTTCGAACAAGATCTTCTCTAACCCATCTCACTTCTTGTTTCTTTTGAATATTAAAGACTGGTGGTTACAGTGAAGATATGATACCAACTGTAGGATTCAACATGAGAAAAGTTACAAAAGGAAACGTTACCATAAAGATTTGGGATCTTGGAGGACAACGAAGGTTTCGTACCATGTGGGAGCGTTATTGTCGTGGAGTTTCAGCCATTGTGTAAGCTTTTTTCTATATCTTGCAAGATCCATATTACTACTATATTGGTGAAAGTCTTGATGGGTTTTAGTTGTTATGGTAATGTTGCAGATATGTCATTGATGCTGCAGATCGAGATAGTGTACCGATATCAAAAAGTGAATTGCATGATCTGCTAACAAAACCGTCTCTTAGTGGCATTCCTCTTCTGATTCTCGGCAACAAAATCGATAAGTCTGAAGCTATCTCTAAGCAAGCTTTAGTTGATCAACTGTAAGATTCTTTCTTTTGTATAAAAAGCTCGATTTAGAATCAAATCTGAATGCGAGTGTAACTCTGTTTTCATGATGCAGAGGGCTTGAATCCGTAGCAGACAGAGAGGTTTGTTGTTACATGATCTCATGTAAGGACTCTATAAACATCGATGCGGTCATTGATTGGCTCATTAAGCACTCGAGAACCGCTAAATAAACAGTAGACACAGCGAGCTCATCGGTCCAGAGGGATACAAGCTTGTGTTTGGTTTCTTGATGTTGTTTTATTTGTTGAGAATCAATCAGATGTAAATCATGAGCTTTTGGTTTTTTCTTCTTGGTCTTCATCTTGTTATCTTAATCTTGTTTTACAATTCTTCAAAGTTAATTACATTTTGGTGAACATATAAATTTATTACATTTATGACGTATAAATTGTAGTTTTATCCGGCTCATGAAAACTAAGAAAAAGAAGCGGGTTTAATCCTGTTAGTGTCAGAGCTTCCCGGTAGTGGAAATCTGTTTTTCTTAGTGCTAATCTTGTTAACAATTCTTTAAAATTTTCAATTTATTAAATTTTGGTAAATAAACTCCTTTTGGATTTATGAAGTACAAAGTCCAATTTTATGCAAACTTTAGGCTTGTGATGAAAACCAAAAACCGGTTTATTCCAGTTATAGTTCAGAGCTTGCTACTTGCTAGTGATGTAAATAAAACACTTGTTGGGTTTGTAAAAGTTTACATTGCAATTATTATCTGGCTCATGCAAACAGAACCAGGGGTTAATCCGGTCACAGTAAGAGCTTCCTGATGTAAAACTCAAACTTTTTGGTTTCTTATTGATTACTTGATTACATTTCTTAAAACTATCTTGAAAATTTACATTTTGGTAACCATACTTGTTTGATTCATCTAGCACACAGTCGAACGGTAGGACTATCACAACCAAAAACCGGGTTAATCCGGTTTAAACTACAGATTGGTAGTGGTGTAAATCCATAAGTAGTTGGTTTGTTTTTTGGGTCTTGAACTCGTGATCATATAATCATTTTCACAATTCATAAAGTCTTTTGAAATATTACATATTGCTAATCACATTCTAAACGATAATCACAGTGGTGATTAAGTTCAGAGATACTCATATGACAATAATGTGTGATGTTATTGCATGTGCGTTTCATAAAAGATAAACCAACTATAGCCGAAACACAATTAAAATAACCAAACCAAGAGAAATAGAGAAATGAGATAAACCGGCTCATGAAATTATAACCCAGTTTAATCCGGTTAGAGTCAGAGGATGTAAAAACTCAACTTTTTGGTTTCTTATTCTTCAAAAACCGGGTTAAAAACCAGATTACACATTTTTTACACTATCTTGAAATACTACATTTTCGTAACCTTACTTGTTTGATTCATCAAGTACACACATTCCAATTTTATTCAAAAAGTAGGATTATGAAAACCAAAAAAGCGGTTAAGTCCGGTTTAATCTTCAGAGCTTGCTAGTGATGTTGATATTCCTGGTTTTGGAGGATTTGGGTGACATGTCCTTGGGAACAACCACCGTGAGGAGACCGTTCTCAGCGTGGGCTTTGACTTGGTCAACTCTCACATTTTCCGGCAACTCAATCCGCCGGAGAAACTCGCCTTTACCGGAGAAAGCTTCTCTCTCCGCCACGTGCCACACCAAATTCTCTTTCTTTTCCTTCTCTTCCTCCTTCAATCTTTCTCCTCTTATGCTCAAAACGTTTCCTTCTTCAATTGTAACTTTTATATCCTCTTTGTTATAACCTAAATTGATTTTTTTTTTTTCATAATTCTCAATTAGATTCGATAACTTTTAAAAGATTCAGTGCGATTTTTTTTGTGTTTCAATTTGTTTTTACCTGGAACGTTGATTTTGAAGATATGTGCGTTTGGAGATTCCATCCAATCAATCAGAGCCGTTGATCTTCCTGACCATTCATGGAATCTCCGAAATGGATACCAGAATATTCCGTCCGTCATTTTTTTTTCTTTCTCTCTCTCTCTCTTACTTCTTTAGAGAAGCTTATTTTAAGAGAGAGGATATGAGTGAAAGTATTTATCCAGAGTCTAGACTGTTCTTCGTTATCTTGTTCATTATTTTCGTCTCCAGAACATTGGAGAAGACGAAAGGAGAGTGATTGTAAGCTACGATGCGGAGTATAATGCTATTGTGAATATCGATTGATTACAACCGTTGGATGAAACATGTATACTTGGGCTTGGGCCTCTATTCCTTAAATTATTTTGGGTATTGCAGCCCTGTTAGGTTATATAACCAGGAAGCTTTGACTCTAACCAGTTTAAACCGGGTTCCGATTTTGATGAGCCGAATGAAATTGAACTGTATACCTTACTTACCAGAGTAATCTGAGCTTTAAAAAAATATTCTTACTTAGGCTACATCTGAGTTTTTTTTTTTTTTTTTTCGACGAAATAAGAAATTATATTAAGTAAAAATAGAAGAGTTTACATAGTCCTTATAAAGGGAAGATGATAACCACCGAGGTGGTTTTATACAACTTGAATAGAACAAAGTATCACTAGGAAGAGATGTGGCCAAAAGATGAACAGGCTCATTACATTGACGAGATACATAGCAAAATTGTGCTTCTTCAAAACATTCACCCCATTTCCGAATTTCACAACATAGATTGTGGATTGAATAGTCCAAAGACCTTCCATGTAGATTCTGAATCAGCAATTGGCTATCTCCCTCAAAAATACATTTACGATATCCCATTAGTAAGGTGTTTTGCATTGCAGATAGTAGAGCTTTTCCTTCTGCCTCCAGAGGAGAAGAGGATTCTCCTAATTGAGAAGATCCCCAATAAGTGTGTTTTCCCGAAGTGTCCCTTATTATCCATCCTCCTCTAGAAAACCTTGTTGCCTGATTAAATGATGCATCAAAATTGCATTTAAAGAAGGAATCAGGAGGACAGGACCAAGTAGTAGATTTATGTAATTGCTGAGGAAGAACTTCTGTTTGGGTAACCGGTTGAGTAGACGTCAACCATTCTCTTACTTCTGCCATCGCATTAGAAACATCTGTTGAAGGGTTGGGAATGATCCTTCTAAAAATGAGGTTATTTCTTGATTTCCACAAACGCCACATCAGCCAAAAAGGTAGCAACCTTTGTTCTTCTGACAATCCAGAAGTAGATTGATAGTCTAAAATCAACCTGATATTATCCTCTGGCTCATTGTAAGGTTGAGATAGGCAAGGAATAGGCACATTAGCAAGTCTCCAAGCCATATGAGAAATTGGGCATTCAAAGAGGAGATGGTTGATAGATTCTTCTGCCAAACCACAGCGATGACAGGTAGGATCCATATTTATACCTCGCGTACGTAACCGAGAAGAAGTTTCCAAAGCCTTGGAAAGAACTCTCCACAAAAAATGCTTCAATTTTGGAAAAATACGCAACTTCCAAATTTTCCTTTTTATCTGAAAGTCACCATATGGAGGCTGGATTTGATCGTTAAAAGGATCTTTTAACTTTCTCGCCAAATAGTACCCTGTCTTAACCGAGTACTCACCGTCTTTATTGTAATGCCAAATAACCTTGTCTTCTGATGACGAGGAAGATAAAAAAAGAGATTTGATGAGTGTTCTATCTTCCAACTGCAACTGATGTAAAGCTTCCTCATTCCATTTCTTTTGCCCAAATTGGATAGTAACAAGATCAGAAACAAGTTGAGGGTTTTGCCGATCTCCAAAGGCTGGTCTTGGAGGATCCGTGGGAATCCAGCTATCCTGAAAGACTCTTATGTCGTTGCCTGTTCCTACATTGTGACGAATTCCTTTTTTCAGGAGTTCCAAACCCGCTAAAATTGATGACCAACCAAATGATTGACCTCTTTGGGGCTTTGCATCTAGAACAGAGCTTTCCCTATAGTATTTTGCTTTAAACAATCTAGCAAACAGAGTGGTTGGATGCTTTAGTAATCTCCATGCTTGTTTAGCAAGAAGAGCATCATTGAACTTTTCTAGATCCTTAAACCCTAACCCTCCCTCTTGCTTAGATTTTTGCATCTTTTGCCAAGCAACCCACGGAATACCTCGCTTATCCTTGTCTTTCTCCCACCAAAAGCGAGACAACAAACTTGTAATCTCCTGGATAACCCCTTTTGGAATCTTGAAACAAGACATAGAATGGACAGGCATCGATACTGCTACCGATTTCAACAACACTTCTTTACCCGCCGGAGAGAGAAGACGTGAACTCCATGTCGAAGTTCTTTTGTTAACAGCCTCCACAATGTATTTAAACATTTCATTTTTCTTTCTTCCAAACTGCTCTGGGAGACCCAAATACTTACCACCTCCTCCCTGATTTTGGATCTCCAAAATAGATTTTAAACGATTATGTACATCCCCTGGAACTCTAGACCCAAAAGTGATCATCGATTTAGAAACATTTATCATTTGACCCGAACTCCTCTCATATACTTGGAAAATATCTTTTAACGCTCGTGCATTCCTGCTGTTTGCCTGACAGAAGAAAAGAGAATCATCAGCGAATAAAAGATGTGTGATCGGTGGTACACCATTTCCGATCTTGATTCCTCGGATATTACCCTGACGAACTCCTTTTTTAATCAAATGACTGAGGATGTCAGCGCACAAAATGAACAGATAAGGGGATAGTGGATCCCCTTGTCTCAGACCACGTTCAGGCTTAATGTAACCTTTAGGGTTGCCATTAATCAGAACTGAATAGCTGACAGACCGAACCGATTCCATAATCCAATCAATCCTAGTGTCACAGAAACCGAAGGCTCTCATTGTTCTTTCTAAGAAACTCCACTCAACTCTGTCGTAGGCCTTGCTGATATCAGTTTTGACCGCCATATATGTTTTAGACACACGTTTCCGTGACTTGAGAGAATGCATTAGCTCATTTGCGACCAGAATGTTATCTGAAGCCATTCGGCCAGGAATGAAAGCTGACTGCTCTTCAGACACAATTTGATGTAGAAAAGTTTTGAGGCGCATCACCAGAAGCTTGGAAATTATTTTATATAACACGTTGCACAAGCCGATGGGACGAAAGTCAGATAAAGTGACTGGCTTCGAGATTTTAGGGATCATACAAATATTTGTATGATTAACACCTGCCTTCATGGTGCGAGTTGCAAAAAAACGTCTGACTTCTGAGGAAACATTTGTACCAACAATAGACCAGCATTCTTGAAAGAATCTTGCTGTAAAACCATCAGGACCAGGTCCTTTATCTGCTCCAATAGAACATACCGCGTCATAAATCTCCAGGTCCGTGAAATCTTGAATAAGCGATTCATTCATTTCAGTTGTTACTGATTTCTGAAATCCCTCAAAAATAGCTTCACATACAGGAGTGTTGTTGGAAGTATAAATATTGTTGAAAAAAACTTCAGCATGTCGCCCTACTTCAGAATCTCCTCTATATATCTGACCAGATGCATCTTGAATGCAGTGAATTCTGTTCTGAGCATATCTCGTCTTAGTACAAGCATGGTAGTACTTTGTGTTACGGTCTCCAGCTGCTAACCAGGTGTTTCTACTTTTCTGTTTCCAGTAGAGTTCTTCCTCCCTATATGCACTTGCTAACTGTTTTTGAATGACAGGAATAACAGTTCGGTGATTCCCAGAACTCAACATCGCAGTTTCTAGTTCCTGTTGTAGAGATTCAATCCGTTTCGCAGAGTTGAGAGAGGACTTCCGGCGACACAGAGCTAAAGATTTCCGGCATTCTCGAATTCTATCGTAATGGAGCAACGGAAATAAGGATTTGGTGAGTTCCATCCGTCAGTAACATACTGCTTGAAATCTTCCCTCTGAATCAGACGCTTGTCAAAATGGAAGGGTTTGTGACTTGGAGAAGAAACTATGGCAACACGAGTAAGTACAGGTCGATGATCAGATCCATAAAAGCCTAGAAATTCTGCCTCAGAGGCAGGGAAATTTGCTAACCATTCAGAGTTGATGGCTACTCTGTCCAGGCACTCCTTGATAGTATGGGTATAACGTTGTCCAACCCATGAAAATCGGTCACCTTTGTATCTAAGATCTGACAGATCACACGAGTTGTACATGTTTTTTAGATTCTGAAAAGTCCATTCTTCCCGAGTGGCTCCTCCTATCTTCTCTTTGTTACTTAGGAGGTCATTAAAATCCCCAACAAGAATCCAAGGTCCTGTTCTAGTAACTCCAATCCTCTCAATTCTTTCCCAGAGCTCATGTCGATGTTTTTGTACAGGATGACCATACACACACGACAAATAGAATTCCATTGAATTAAAGCTGATAAACAGATCAACCAAACGTACATCTGAGAAGAGACATTGGACTGACACTTCTTGCTTCCAAAAGACAGCTAATCCTCCGCTTCTACCAAGGGGAGGGACACATAAAATATGGAAATAACCTAGAGACACTGCAACATCACGGACTACATCTGACACATTCATAGTTTCACAAAGAAAGAAAACATCTGGATCATACTTCCTACACAACTCCTTCAATCTCGGTTCTGACACATTTCCACACAGCCCTTGAATGTTCCAGGAGCATATCTTCATGATGAAGACAGTGGGGGTACCGGGCCCCCCACGCCTCTGACTTGTTCATTGGTTTCAGCACTTGAAATCTCTGGAAAATCTCCACAGTCTCGCTTCTTGATCAGGCACAGGTCCGCCTGGTCATTTATGGTAAGAGACGGATTTGCCTCCTCAAAGACAGGCCTCTTCCTCTTATTTGCTCCTAGTTCCTCTTGAGTAAAGAGGCCAAAGTTTTCTAAATGCTCATCTTCCCTCATCTTCCCACGTTCCATGCGAAGAACTCTGAGACGCATGTCCTCCATTATTGCAGAATCCGATATGTTGTTGAGCAAAAGGTCACCTGTAGATGGCTCCGAACTTTGTGCAGAAATGGGAATGGTCGTATCATTGACAGGACCAAAAGTAATTGGCTCTTCAACCCTATCCAGCACTTGGTCAGAGTGATCTGGATCATCTCCACCGTTGTCATCATCATCACCTTCAGAGTCTGAGAAATCTCTGTCTTCAATTTGAAGTGGACAATCTTTCTTGTCATGAGAGAGAAGACCACATCTCTTGCAGAAGTTGCGCAGGCGTTCATATTTGAAACGGAGGATCGTGTTGACGCCGGTTTCAAACTGAAAATTCCTCTGAAATCTCAAGGGATTGTCAGAATTCCAAAGCACACGAACGCGAACGAAATCCACACGGGTTGAATTTTCATCAAAATCCACCCCAATAACTGGTCCGTAGAGATCTCCGATGTAGGTAATCATTTGGCGAGAGAGGAATTGGATGGGAATGCCTCTGATCTGCATCCAAAACGGTAACATCTTGCGGGTGGCTTCATCAAGATTAGGAGCCCATCTATGAACTGTCAGCATCCAGTCCGCAAAAGACCAAGGGGTACGCTGAAGCACCAGATTCATCGTGTCTTCAGACTGGAAGAGGAACTGAAGTTGGTTACTTCCAATGATTCGGCCTGAAGTAGCATGTTCCAAACCCCAGACCCTCGGTAATTGGGAAATCATCGCCCGAAGATTCTGCTTCTTCGGATTCAAAGGGACGACCACCAGGGAGAATTGATTGTTTGCAGACGCTTGATTCAGTAAGATCGGTGGGAGAACCACCGGTGCATCGCCAATTCCCAGGTTGATGTTCTGCATTCTTTGTCGGAGATTTTCACCCATTTGATGATGAGAGAGTAGGTATAAATCGGAAGATGAGAAGTGAAACCATATATATAAACAGGAACATGGCAGTTTCAGATTTTGAAATTCTCCAATTTGAAATTGGGAAACGTAACCGCAAGAAAACGTGCTCTTCAGATCGAGAATTCCGGAGAACGTACACCACGGAAGGAAACCGGCACAGAAGAAACCATAAATAGTGGAGATCGTGGCCGGAATTACACTCTGCGAAGGAGAGAATTGACCGTTATCAGTAATCGCCTTTTTCGTAGCCTTTTTTCGCCTCTTCATTTTCCCAGGCTACATCTGAGTTATTCAGGTTTTCAATCCATTAACAAATTTATGAAATAATTGAAAGTACCAAAATTTATTAAAAAAAAAAGCTTATACGAAAAGTTACATATTTTCTCAACGTGAATACATAGAAAAACAGAGTTATGAATATTACAACAGAATATTAATCCTCAAAGTTCAAAGCCCTAAATCTCTGATTCCACAAAAAAAGAAAAAAAAACCTAAGCTGATCTTTGAATCTCTGTTTTCTTGATATTATTCATACGGAACACTTCGACACAAGGGACACGAGTTTTGCCGACGAAGCCACTCGAAGAGACATTGTTGATGAAACATATGTAGGCATTGAGGCATCTCGATGATGTTCTTCTTATAACACTTGTACCAATCCTCAAAACAAATCGAACACTGATTATCACTTTCACTTTCTTCTCCCAAATCCATCGGTTCAACTCTCTGTTCTTTCGCTAACCTCTGCAAAACTTCCCTCGAAGCACCTCTCGACGGAGCAGGAAGAACAGGCGGTGGCGGCGGCGGCGGCAAAATCAAACGCCTCTTTTTGATGAACTTGACATGAACGGTCACGAAAAGAGGTTCTCGAAGGAGATTATCTCTAGCAAGTTTAGCATCGATATCACTAGCGATTGCTACGCCTAAGCTTTGAGAAAAAGGAACTTGTTGACCACGAAGTAGCCGATAGAGATGATCTGGTGTGAAGCCGCCATGTGGATTCAAGCGGATGTGATCGAATTCTGACACTCTTACCGTTCCAGATTCTTCATGGATCACTTCCTTTAGAAAGATTAAGACTGTGTTCGTAGCCCCCGCGATTGTCGGTAGATTATCCACTAACGTTTTGACTTTGACTTCGGGTCTAAGAGTTTCCGTTTCCATGGCCACAGAAGAAGAAGAAGAAGTCAAACAAGTATAAACCCTAATTTCAGATTTGAAGATGAAGATTGTTGAGAGAAATCGATTTTTTCTTAAGGTGAATGTGTGATATATATATATAGAGAGGGATGCTGCATAAGTGGACGCGTTTTTTTATGTCTTTCTAAAATTCGACCGTTAATGATAATAAGTTGTTTCCTTTTTTTTATAAGATTCGATCAGTTATTGATCTCATTGGTTATTTCCTTTTTTCCATTTATCTAAAATTCTACCGTTGATTAGTTATTTCCTTTTCTCACATCTGAACTATTGTACCGGAGTTTATTCCAAAATAAACGTTTGTTTCCGGTTCGGTTTGTTATGGTTTAGGGGTTAATATTATTGAAAGTTCAAACAGTAGGATTATGAAAACCAAAAAACCGGTTTAATCCGGTTTATCATTCAGAGATTGATGATAGTGAATTAGTGATGTTGCTGTTCCGGGTTTTGGAGGATTTGGGTGATGTGTCTTTGTGAAAACAACATCAAGAAAAAAACAAACATCTGATTTAGAATTGTTAAAACAAGAATTTAAAACAATACCAAGAGAAAACAAGATTCAGATGATTTACATCTGATTGTTTGCTCAACAAATAAACAACATTGAGAAAACCAAAAACAGGGTTTTTTTTTTCATTGGATCGATGAAATCAGTGAGCTTGTTCTGTCTATTTGTGTATAGCAGATTACTTCTCTGTCTGCTACATATTGAAGCCACCTGCAAACGAAGAACCAAATCATAGGTTGTTGGAATTATTAAGGTGATCACAATTACTTCTGATTACATCTTCAGGTTACTCATTCAGTCTTCGTATTATACTCTTATTTGTTCTGCAATTCTTACTTATTTTCTCTGTTTCAATCTTCTTTGCGTACATTACTTCATGTTTAATTATTTGGATTTTCTTTTCAGACCACAAACAAATTTATGTTACAAAATGATTATTGTAAGAATTAAAAACAAAATTTAAATTTCGTAATAAAAGTTACATCTTTCCCAATGTTGATACAAAGAAAGACTTAGTAATTAATAAGAATGGATTACATAATTAGAATGATACTAAATCCTAAGTCAAGCTTTGAATCTCTGTTTTTCTGCGCAATTTTGTTTCTAAATCCATACGTATCACTCAAGAAATCAAAAGGAATTCAAAACCCTAAGTCAATCTTTGAGTCTCTCTGTTTCTTCTTGATCCAATCGTATGAAACGAAACAGTACTCCGACACAACGGACACGAGTTTTGCCGACCAAGCCACTCGAAGAGACAATGTTGATGAAACATATGCAAACACTGAGGCAACTCGATAATGTTTTTATGACTCTTATTGGACCAATCCTCAATACAAATCGAACACTGAGTCTCGTTTTTCCCTACCAAATCCTTTGGTTCAACTCTCTGTTCTTTCGCTAACCTCTGCAAAACTTCCCTCGAAGCACCTCTCGACGGAGTAGGAAGAACAGGCGGCGGCGGCGGCGGCGAAATCAGACGCCTCTCTCTGATGAAATTGACATCAACGGTCACGAAAACAGGTTCTCGAAGAGAATGATCATTATCAAGTGAAGCTTTGATATCACGAGCGATTGTTTCCCCTAGATATTGAGACTCTGGAACTTGTTGATCGCAAAGGAGTCGAGAGAGATGATGTGACGTGAAGCCGCCACGTGGCTTCAAGCGGACGCGATCTGATCCTAATAGTGTTACCATTCCAGCTTCGTGCTTGATCAGTTCGTATAGACTGATTGTGACCGTGTTCGTAGACTCCAACTTTCTCGGTAGATTCTTCACTGACGTATAGACTTCGGCTACATGAGTTTCGATTTCCATGGCCGCAGAAGAAAGATAAAATCGAACTAAGATAAACCCTAATTTCAGATTGTTGTCTTGAGAGAGAGAGAGAGAGATGTCTTAAGAGAGAAATAGATTTCTTCAGGTGAATGAATGATTTATATAGAGAGAGGTTTGCTGCAAAATTAGACGCGTTTTAATTTATTTCTTTTCTTTTTCTTTCTAAAATTCGATAATTTATTTATTTCAATTTGTTTATTTCCTTTTTTGTAAGACTCGATCATTTATTGATCCATTGAAAGTTTCCTTTTTTTGGTAGAATTCGACCGTTAATCAGTTATTTCCTTATCTCTTTCGAGATTGGATTATTGTACCGGAATTGAAGTCAACAATTACTGGTTCGGTTTGTTTGGGATCTCGAAATGTGTCTTTGTTGCCAACGGCCAGATGAGCTGTAGCGTGTGGTTGACGTTATTTAATTTGGAATGTGAGAGTTCGCAGGAAGGAAACACAGAGTACTAGGGTTTGTTTCTAAAACGCTGCGTTTTTACTGATCTATTTTAAAACGCACCATTTTATTTGACCGGACCACCTTTTTAAAAAAAAAACTCATTACATTTCCTGCCTTTTAAGTTTTTAGATTGTTTTTTTAAGCTGAAAATTAGAGTATGTTGAGCTAATTACATCTTAAATACTTGGTATGTATATATTTTTTTAATATAAAGAGATTCTATTGTCTTATTGTACTTAGGATAAGATATTGTAGCCCCGATTAGAGTTTATAAAAAAAGACCCATGATAAAAAAACTATGCATTTCTTTCCAATACTAACCACAAATTATTACGTAAGAGTAAATTTGGGGAAAAATGCTCTTTAAATTGAAAAAGAAGACTAAATTTTCGAATGAATGAAAGATTTGAGAGGAATATTATAAATTCGGTTTCTTTTTAAGAGAATATATTCCATTTGGCAAATAAAGATCGACATAAACTTTTGCTTTTAGATACCTCTTTTTCTCCATGCTCTTTTACTTTGTTGCCTTAGTAATCTTTTTCTCCCTTTCGGATATGCACATTACAGAAAGCCATTAAAATTCAATTCATTTCTTAAGACTTCCTTTTGTTATCTCTTTTTCATTTAAAATACTTATTATCACCCGTATTATGTAACAACAATCGAAACAACATAATTAAAATAGTACTGAAAAGTAATTGAAAAGAAAAAAGAAATAAAGTCGACAGAATCCAAAGCAATATACATCTCATCTGAATTGTTTTTGCTTCTTTGAGATCCACACTCTTTGACAATTATTTACCTGAAAATTTTAAATTTATATTCACATATTACTATAACAATTTGAATATCCTAAATAAAAGGTTATTTGTACTTCACTATCTGATTAACCTAAATACGTAATCGAATAAAATTTGTATGATGCACGTGCAAGCATATTACATATAATATTCATTTTCGCCCCTTTGACTACGTACCTTTATCATAAGAGCCATGCATGTTTACTTTGAATATACGTGTATATATTTTTGTGTACTTACCGTATATTGTGACGGAAATAAGAATAATCAAATTAATAAAAATGAAAATATGTAAAAAAAAAAAGTTACCTCCACGACTGCAAACGCCTCTGAGGAAGAGAAGGAAGATAATTAGAAGAACAACTGCAGCTAGTAGTCCTATGATGATCGCAAACGTCCTTTCTCCTCCGTAGTTTGTTTTATCTTTATATTCAACAACAGTAATTAATAAAAACACAAATTTTATAATTAGTTTCCATTTTACGAATTAGTTAAAATTTTAAACGTAAAAAAATACTATTTAAACATGTGAGACGAATTGTAAAATACCTTATTTTTCTTTATTTATTCTATACTTAATATTGTGAATGGTATATATTCAGTAGAATCATACTTTCAAAAGGTGAGAGCGTGAAAATATTACATACCATTCAAGTCCTAAGTTTGATAAGGATTCTTAAAACTAAAAATTTAGTAAGAGTTTCTTAATCATGATTCAAGTTTGTATTTTTTCAAAATTTTGTTTTTGGATATATATTAGTGGTAATGTGAAATAAAAAACCCATAAAGTTAATAATAATAAGTAAAGAAAATTTACATTTATGAGACTTGGCATTGTATTGTCCACCATCAGTAGAATATCTTGCGTAACACTTAGCCAAGAACATGTCTCCAAAGACAGCCGTGCCACAATCGTTTTTTAGCCGTCCGATTGCCGTTCCTACACAATCTTGGCACTCGGAAACCGTTAGATCTCCTACACACTGTCCCATACCTTGAACATCACCGGACCCTCCGGCTCGAAAATACCCTCCGCCGCTAAGTAGTCCCGTGAGAACGGCGTCTCTCCGGCTGATCCCATCGGTGTTGTAACCCTCAGAGGGTCCACACTTCTTTAGGACAACGGTTTTGTCTTCTTGGCCGAGGAAGCTAATATTATCGTACTTGATGTAGCATCCAGCTAGCTGGAGGGCCCCACCGCAAGTGTAAGGGCAAAGAGGTCCCACTTGGGAGACGGCACGTGCCACACACGTGGCGCAGTCCGGCATTGAGAGATCGCCGCGGCATTGGAAGAGTCCACGGGCTGTGTCGGAGGAGGAAGAGCCCATGACGGTGAAGTTGTTGTAGGAAGAGTATGTGGCAGAGTTGACTAGAGAAGTGAGAAGAGAGTTGAGGTTTGACTCATAAGGAGACGCCGGAGAGAATTTCTGCTGGGAGCAGCCACCATAGACGAAAGTGTCTGTGGCGGAGGTGGCGGAGGAGAGTGAAGGAGCTGTTGCGGCGAGGAGAGAGAAGAAGAAGAAGGAGAGAGTTTTGGTGAGGTTATTTGGAGAGAGACTGTTTCTTAGCTTTGCCATTGGCAATGATAAAAAAGAAGAGAAAGACATTAGAAATGAAAATGAATACTTATTTATACTAATACATGTTAAGTGTCCAAGGCATACATGTTTTAAGTTACAGTTTAACTGTATATGTAAGATTTATTTAAATTTGCAGTAACATGTGATGAATGGCTCAGTCTTCTTTCCTTGTGGCATGACTAAATAAGTGCTAATAAGCTTTTCATAAAGTAGGCAGCATGCAACAAAAGGTATTCATGCATTTCTTAAATTAATATTAGGGAGGAAAAATAATAGTTTATTCCAAACTGCAGTAATTATCATTATTTTATTTGTGTATTATATTTAAATTATAATCTATATATAGTTGGTATAGAACTTATGGACCTGCTTATAGTTGTATGTAATTGATTATTTTTTATATATGAATGTCTGATTATTCTAACTTTTAGCTGTAGATTTTAATTTAGTTGTTATTGAATGTAAAATTAACAGAAAAATTCCCAAACATCAAAAAGTAAACTAATTAACAACAATCTTCACATTTCAATGGATAAAAACTCTTTCACTTTCGTGTTGTAACAATGATCAAATGAGCTAAGGAAAGAAAAGAGCAATGGATAAATTTATTGTTACTCATTCATAACAAAAGAGTGTCAAATTGAGATTGAAATTAAACAAAAGAATGTCAAATTGGAAAGTTGAATATTCTTTTCTTTTTTTGCTAATAATTCCCAAACGGAGAGTAGATGGCTGATCCATGAGGACTTTACGTTGGGTTATTTCCTTTTTCTGTTTTTTTATATTTATTTTATATCATTTTAAGAAAAGACCTTTTTCGAACGAAGACACAGCTCTCCAACTGTACCATCGCACTCATCGAGTTTTCCATTTCTTCTTTTTAGGATATTCATTGCTTGCTCTCGAAGAAAACTCTCATAGCACTTCATTTATTCTTATTTAACTTCTTTATTTAAAAGGTTAAGAGAGTATGTGTACTATATATAGCTAACTCTTATTATCCGTTAAACTTTATTTTAAAATTTAAAACACAAATCAAATAATAACAAAATAAATAATTCTATATATTCCAAATCGATCCAAGTCGAGAAACTAATTAAAAAAAAAAAAATTCGATTCATTTCGGAAGATGTTGTATAGATCTACTCCATCTGAACCGAACCAAACCGAATAAATTCACAGCCGAAAAAACCAAACAGGATAAACCGGATGTCCGTGCCTATCAATTAGTATGAAATCATTATATCAACAAGAAATTAACGAAGGCAAAATCACATTTTTGTAGTGAAGACAAAAACGAAAGTCCTATAGACTTATTATCATTATCATCAAAGTCACATAATGTTAATGTATATTCGATTATTTGTTTTTGTACTTTTTTTGTTTGAAATGGAAATCTATGATAGTAAAATTGTAATATCTTGTCCTTAATATAATATTACGTGGTTAATGGATCACACATATTAGTTTAGACTCTTTTTTTTGAAAACTAAAGTTTTAGACTCGGAGAATTTATTATATAAATTCCATAAAAAGTTGAAATACTGATTTGATCATAGTTATAGATACTAAGGTTGAGTCCGCGCTTTACGCGGATTTTATTGTATGTTTGTGTTTTTATATATTTTATATATTATTTTATAAAAAACACATTGTGTTCTGTTAGTTATCATTATTAGTGTTTTTATATAACAGCAAATTTCTCTTAATTATTATTTTATTAACTTCTATTAATATTTCTATGTGTATATATATATTTTTTTTTTTTCTATTAACTTCTAGATTTATTTGTGATCTACGTGTTGCACATAATTTTATAATTGTAAACAGTTAATTTATCATATTTGTCTTTTTATTTTTAATAGACTTATTATTCATTTTTGTATTATCATAGTTTGTTAGTTTCATTTTTGTTCTCCTTTCTGATTTTCAACATTTTTATTCTTGTATTTTTTAAAATTCATTTTTATCAGCTTTGTATTCTTCTTCCTCATTTTCTTTACCTTTTTTTTTATCATCTTCTTCAACTTCTATTTTTTTTTCCTTTTCAATTTTTCTCATCTTCTTTTTCTGATTTTAGTTTATCTTTTATTTTTACTTATCTCGTATATGTATTATTCCTCGTCTATTTCGTCTTCATCTGCGCACTTTTCTTTATATTTGATTATTTATTTTTCCTCTTATTTTTTCTTATTATTTTCATCTTCTTTGGTATTTGTTTTCATCATCGTCTTTTTCTTTAACTATTTTCTACTTATTTATTTTTTTTTCCTGTTTTTACTTCTTTTTTTCTTGATAAAAAATAATTATTATAAAAATGTATGAATTAATTAAGTTATTAATTTCAGTACTAATGTTTTTTCTTTTATTTTTTAAAAACTAATACTATTTTAAAGTGTATGAATTAATTGAATCATTAATTTTAATTTTTCTATCTTCATATTGTAGTCTCTTTTCTCATCTTCAACATTTTTCTCTATGTATTTTTTAAAATTACTTTTCATCATTTTTGTGTTTTTCTTCTTTCTATTTTTGATCCTTTTTTCCATCGTCTTTTTCATCATCTTTGACTTCTAATTTTTTTTTTAAATTTTTTTTTTATTTTATTATGCGTCTCTTATTTTTATTTGTCTGATGTATGTATTCCTTTTTTTTTACTTCGTATTCATCTATATCGTCTTAATTATATTTTCATTTTTCTTCTTTCTCCTACTTTTTTTATTTTTTTTCATCGTTTATGGAATTTCCTTTATCATCGTTTTTTTCCTAATTTTTTGTTTGAGTTCTTACTATTATTTTTCTTGATAAAAATATAAAAATTATAAGTACTGTATAAATAATTAAATCATTAATTTTAGTAGTAATATTAGTGTTTTTTAATGAAAAATAATAGTTATTAATGTGTGTAAATTAATTGAGTTATTAAATTTAGTTTTCATTGATATGGACACCCTAGATGGAGAGAAAACTCTCTAATTATATAATAGATTTGGTGATGTATGTTAATTTACATTTTGGTGCGATTTGAAATTGTTTTGGGAACTTTTCAGCACATTTCATTTTTGACCGAGTGAGGTCTAATTATCACAATTTAGAAAATAGGGACTGTGTGGTCGACTTGTGACTGGACCATGATGAATTAAGGTCCAAAATTGTACCAAGCCAAAATGATTTTACTTCTAAAAATATTTCGATCCATGGGACTATATTACATCAGAATGAAAAACATACTAGTTCAAGAAAACCTAGTCATATATGTTGAATAACTATATAAATTCACACAAAATGATTGAGATGCATAGATTAGAAACATAAAAGCAATTAAAAAAAGCTAGTTGAGTTGAAATTATCTTTTGTTCATGTATTCTAAAATCTTGTCTTGCACATAAACTCTGAGACTTTCCGATTGAAGGCTAGTTAGGGTTCCAGAGAAGGTGACTTGCGTCAGAAGGAAACCCTTCCCATTCATTTCTCCCAGTATCATCAAAGATTATGATAATCCCTTTACAACGAGGCTAACAAGAGAATAATAAAAGCGAATTTGTGATTCCAGCGATTGATAATCAAAAGAAGAGATCTCTGTCTATAATTTTGTCACAACACACACATAACTAGCATTGACTTAAGAAACTAAATATACTTTGGTAACAAAACGTACAAAACAACAGAATCAAATCAATTAATTTGCCGTTACGTGATCAGATGAACCTTGTTCCTCCTCATCTGCATTGCTCAGCTGGAAATATTTCGGTGATAAAATCTTTCTTAGGTTTGGAAGAGGATACAATCACACACACACACACACACACATTTTCGGAGCCTCTTTCTCCCATTCTAATCCTCTTCATCTATTCTTTCTGCTCTGATTCTTCTTCCTCTTCTTCTTCTTCTTCTTCTTCTGATTTTTCTACTTCTTCTGATTCATCATCATAAGTTATTACTGCTGTCCGTGTCTCAGGAAATTCAGTGGCAGCTTTGGGAAGCTTTGGACAGTCGTGGACATCAAATTTTCTCAGGTTTGGAAGAACCAGAGAATTCGGGCAAATGCTCCTTAATTCATCCAATTCCCCATAGTTGAAAGAATTCAAGCTTTCCAAAGGGAACCGCCAAATGTGGATGCAAATTGCTAATACTCATTCCTTTCTCCCTATTTATTATTTCTTCTATGCTAATTGAAGAGCTCACGGCTAAATACCTGAGATTTTGAGCGAACAACAGCCAAGTCAAGTCCTTTGAACCTTCCAAAGAATTAATGTGAACAGCGAACAACAGACGCTGTTTTTGATCTGTTTAAACACTGCATTCAAAATAATGTAAAGGTAACCACTGATTCCTTGTGGATAGAGGCTGTTTTGTTTCTCTAGTTTCCTTTTTGAGTCTTGTTTTGATCTTCCTAAAAACTGCGTTGGAAAACAGAGTAATATTTTAGAAAAGTTCCCAAAAAAAAAAGCACTTGTTGATCCTCTTCTGCTCTTAATTCTATACTGTGACGAGCTCGTTTGATTCTCTTCTGCTATGAATAGCCAACTAGAACATGTGAATTAACTGGACTTCGTCTCTCAATCTCAATCTCACACTCACTCTGAGACGCAGTTGAAAAAGACGTCGTTTAAACTTTAAAGATGACCGTAGGTCCAAAACTGGGTCAATTTTAGTCTATTTGCTTCTCATAACACAAAAAAGACATCTCTTCCTAACAACAAGTCTCTCTAAACCCCAAGACCAATCCAAAAGATGATGCCAAAACCGGAACTAATATAAATATGCATCAAGACCAAATGTCTCTCATATACGAATCAAAACACCAACCACCAAGAATGCCTTATTTCTGGAATGAGATATTTGTTTTTGTAGGGAATACGGTCACTAAGCTCGGTAGTGTAACTGGAGTTGTTAAGAAAGTTAGTAGTTCGCGATATAGTAAAGATTAGTTTATCCATTTTGTGTTGATGTGAGGTCAAGGCTTAGCTTGAAGGTTATTTCTAGTAAATTGAGTGGAAATTGAAAATTTGTAAAAAAGAAACGTAAATAAGTAAAGAAAACTGTGAGTACGTGGGGATATTATTTCTTCTTACATAATCTAGTTCGTCTCAATGCCTTATACAGAAGATCGTCACAAGCATTAGACTAGAGAAAAACAGGGGACTCTGTTCTTAAACAGAGTTATTACTTGAGAAAAACAGAGGACTGTCCGAAACAGAGTTGCGAAAATCTGAAGAAATCAAAGCTTATGTACACGATTTCAAAGAAAAAAATTGCGGTTTAATCAATTTCACTGAAAACGTTTAGAACGTGCTAAGAATATATCTTGGATTGCAAGAATTTTGTAACCTTATCTTTGCTACATAACATGACACTGTGTTCCAGGCTTCTAGCTACGGAAAAATAATACTATGCCACTGTAGAACTAAGTGACATGAACAGCTATATACATAAGTATTTTTCTCCTTTAATCTATATTCAACACTTAATTACATTCACTAATTCACATGATAATTGTAATGATACACAGCCTCCCATCTTTGCTCAAACTTTCAGACAGAAAATCAGAAACCAAAACTGCTCTAATGAATAGGCAAAAGAAAGCGGAAGACCTATAATGTAATGACTTGATGAGAAAATAGTAAGTCCAGAATGCAAGATAAAGATATTGACCTTTCTACACTAATAATTCAGAAACCGCTGAAGAAATTTCACATCCACAACAATGATACTGACCATAAATATGAAGAGCACGAGAAAGAAGAAGGTGACTGCACTGAATGATTGAGCAGGAGAAAGAGGAATACTAATAATTAAGCGTGCTGATGAGAAAATGGAAGAGTACACTTCTCTGTCTACTACTCAAATGATGCTAATGAATGTGAACCCAAGTTTGAAAACAATGATTCATTTTACACCAACTTTGAAAACAATGACATGACACAAAATCTTCAGAACAGTTGTACTTGTGGCAACCAAACTCGGTTCATATCCACCATCGGGGATACTTGTACGAATCAATCCAATGCTAATAAAAGGTATCAAATCATGAAAACTCATTGGTGATAGCTGGAAAATGGAAAAATTAGGGCAGTGATCCACTGGAGAGTTGGAAACGATATGAACAGTATGTGTAGTACACTCTGGTTAAAATGTCTGAAGAGACGTCATGAAATGTAATGAGAGAGCATACTTTTTGGAAAATCATCTGTCTTTTTGTTGCAGAGCCACATGAACCAGTTAACAAAGAGAGTAATACAAATGAAGGTTTCAGTATGATAAGTCCTCTGAGCCACTTAGGCATTTCATCGAACACTTGGAATCTTTCAGATTTTGGGATTCTGTTCACTTGGGAAATCTCTCTGTCTCAGGTATTGCATTGAACACTTGAATATGATTGAGATTCGATACAGTCTTCCATCTTCCATCAATCGAAGTTGTCATGTTTTTTTTTTCCTGACAAAATTAGAGAAATGAAATGAGATTTTTGCCTTTGATTGCTAGATTCTGAATCTTAATTGTTCTTAAGTTAAACAAGCTGGAGGAAAAAAATATTACTCTGTTTGATGATTTCGAGTTAACTACGAGAGGAGATAATCAAAATCGTCAAAATGTGAACCTAAATTTGCGGATCCGTTTTCTTTAATGTTTCAGCCGTTTTTTGCTCGGTGATTGATTCATTCTTCTTATCACTGAAATTATTCTACTGAATCGATAAAGAATGAAGGAAAGATGAAAATTTCTGAATCAAAATTACTCTTTGAGAAATGCAAATTTAGAAAACAATTAATTTCATACAAAGCAAAAGCAGTAAAATAAAACCCAAAACCAAATTAAGAACTGAGAGAATACAATCACACTCACACACACAATGCAACGGCTTCGGAGCCTCTCTTTCTCCCATTCTAATCATCTTCATCTATTTCCATTCTTGTTATTATTGCTGCTCGTGTCTCAGGAAACTCAGTGGCAGCTTTGGGAAGCTTTGGACAGTCGTTGACTTCAAATTCTCTCAGGTTTGGAAGAACCAGAGAATTCGAGCAAATGCTCCTTAATTCATACAAATTGGATAGATGAAGGACTTTAAGCTTCCGAAAGGGAACCGACAGATGTGGAAGCACATTGCTAATACTCATTCCTTTCTCCCTGTTTATTATTTCTTCTATGCTTTTTGAGAACATCACACGTAGTACCCTGAGATTTTGAGCGAACAACAGCCACGTCAAGTCCTTTGGACCTTCCAAATCGATTATACGAACATCGGAGAGGTGCTTGAAGCCTTGAGAACTTGTACAGAGAATCTCTTCTCTTTCTTTGCTTTCCCATTCTATCTTTATTTCTGAGATTTTGCAGCTTCCAATCTCAAGGCTTTGAAGACCACGCAGAGCTACCGTGTTTAATACTACAACCTCTGCTGACATATTCCCTAGGTTTAAAACTCGAAGACTGCTCGCCAATCGCTCCACTTTTTGGATACTATCCAAAATCAAAGCATCATTTACGTTCGCTGTTAAAATATTCAAGTGCTCTAAGAGTTATAGCTCTTTCATTAATCCTGCATCAATATAGACACCGGAATAAAATAGTTTCAACACTTGCAGATTTGGTAAGCTTGTTCCTATCCCATCAATGCTTCTAAGATCAGTATACTCAAGGTCCAAGCTTATTAGTTTCCTCAACCCCTTCAAACCAACTGGTAACGATTCTATACTCGTCCATGATAAATTGAGATATTCCAAGGAACTCAAGCTGCAAATTTCTTCCGGCAATGCACAAAGTCTGGTATTTTCCGAAAGATCCAAGACGACAAGGGATGGCATAAACCGAAAGAATTCACCTGAAATAATCTTCAACTTGTTGTCACGGAGTAATAACGTCGAGAGGTTGGGGCACTCGGGAGAGCAAGATATCTCTTCAATACGATTACTCATCAACGATATCCTTCTCGCAACTTCCCAGTTTATGATGTCATTTGGAATATGGAGTAATTGCGCACCAGATTTGACACACAAGTTTTCTTCCTCTTTTCCTATCCAAAGAGCCATCTCGCGTACAACATCATGCATTTTCACCTTCTCTGCTGAGAATTTAGGATCCACATCCATCAATAGATGCGCACGAACTAACGAACCAATTATAGCATGACCTTGGTTGTTACTCCCATCTTCACCTCTGTTTCCATTTATAAATCCTTCGCCTATCCAATATTCTATCAACCGCTCTTTCTCAATTTCATAATCTTCCGGGAACAAGGAACAATATAGGAAGCACGATCTGACGTTTTGATCCTTTAAATCATCATAACTAAACTTCAGAATTGGAAGTATCTTATCGTCCATACCCTTAAATTTGTGGCTAGACAAGTTGAGAACTTCAAGTGCATAACGCCATTCGTGTACACCTTCTTTATATGCCATGGCTCTGCCAATAACATTGAGTGCAAGTGGCAAGCCACAACATTTCTTAGCAATTTCCCTTGCAAGTTCTGCAATTTCCTCATGTCGTTTCAATGTGGCTTCTCCAACAATAATCTGAAACAGTTCCCACGCTTCATCCCATGACAAACAATCAACCTTCATCTCATCGTCAGCTTTCATGTCTCTGCAAACTTCTTTTGAACGAGTCGTGAAAACTATCTTCGATCCATTATCGACAGCTTTTGGAGATGGAACTCCAATCTTGTCCAGATCAACCTCGCTCCATAGATCGTCTAGTAACAACACAAATTTCTTTTTGCGAAGGATATTGTTGATGGAAGAGGCTTTCTCTTCCTCTGTTTCTTCTTTCCAGTCCTTGTCGGCGTAATCTTCCCAGAATCTGATCCTGAATGCCCTCGATTTGCAAATCTTTAGACACCACGACCCATATCACAACACCAAATTCATTCACCACTTCAGCGAATTTGTTGTTGATACGAGCTAAGAGGGTTGTTTTGCCTACTCCCCCCATACCATAAAGACCTAAAATTCTTCTTTCAGAATCCATGATGCTGCTCCATGCCTTTTCAACCATTGAATCCAAACCAACTGTTTTTTGAATATGTTTCTCCCCCACCTTTGGTACAGGAGCTTTATCCGCCACCACTTCAAAAGCTCCTTGAGATAGAAGCTTTTTCACTTCTTCCAACTTCTTCCATACCTTTTTACCATACTTGCAGCCTGATATGCACTTTTTAGAACAATATCCAAAAAGACACAATCTTCCAGTTTCAGTTGATTTAGCCTCAAGCAGATCTCTGACCTCGGACTCCATACCTGCTACCCTTGAAATCCATCCTTGAACTTGATCAAGCTGCTGCAATCCTTTACCTTCTTCTATGTCAACTCTTCTTGACAGATCATTTCGCCTTTCTACAAGTTGTTGCCAAGTATTCTTCAGCGCCTCAAGGTTAGCCTCCATCATGTGAATGTAATTTCCATCGCCGAATAAGCAGCTAGTAGCTTGATTCAACGCTTGATTACAATCACATTGTAACTGTGCTGTTAAAAAGTTTCCCATCTTCGCTCAAACCTTCAGAAAGAAACCTACTGATTTCACTGCCCAGGATGATGAATGAGCGAGAGAGGAAGACCTGGCTCGATTAGAAAAGAACAAGTCAAGACTTGAATTTAATAACATTCTTTCCTCAACTTGTTAATAGTCATGGCCTCAACTTGTTTAATAAACAGTGCGAGATGGGTTCATCCACCATGTATTGACAGCCCTACGTAGAATTACAATTTATTGTATTTCGACCATTGAGGGTATGTTAAAGGCCATTAAGATTATATAAACACACAACTATGGATGAAAGCTTTAACGAATACTAAATTTAAAACGACCAATTCTCTGAACTTGGCTGATGACAGCTTTAACGAATAATAATTTTAAAACGACCAAAACCTATTTATTTACACTCTAAACTCAATTTGAGTAAGATTGCGTCTTCTAATGGTTGCCTTCACGTTTCTTAAGAGTTTGACTTTTTGAAAGTTCCGTGATACCTTCCAAGACGAGACTTGGTGTCTCAAATAAACCAGTCTGTCTAAAAACCTCCACGAATTGGTGGAGATGTTCGGGTTTGACCTTTAACGAGATTCTTCAATCAGCGATTTAGAAACATTTTGCTATTTTTTCTTGATGAAAATTAACTGATGAACCCGAAATTACAAAATTGTTTGCATCCAAAACAGTTATCGTATTTAGATTATATTGTCTGAATTCGTATTCTTCAAAAATCTCTCTGTATATTTTGTAACGATAATGAAATAAGTTAACAGAAAAATAATTTAATTAAGATACTGGCCCGCACGCATGTGCAGGTTTGAATTTTTTTAAAAATTTTAATTGTATTGGATATATTGTTAAGTTTATTGGATCAAATTTTATAATATTGATAATTGATAGTGTGTGTGAGTACAGTGTTACTAAATTTGGGCCGAATGGTATGTTATTAATACAAGAATTGAATTGTGTCTTATAATTGGCTATATATTTTTTTTGATGTAAATATAAACAATAAATGATATTAAGTAATTATAATTAGGTTTGTATAATGAAGAAAGTGTAGATGAAGAATACATGTAATTATGAATACATATATTAATTTTATGTTCGTAAATCGTAAGTTATTCATCTAGTGACATATATGAACATATTTTATAGATTATATGCGAAGATGTATTCATTTATTTCGAATTGTATCTTCATTTAGAAATTGTTATAAATCAGTTAAATATTATTTAATATATATTAATTATAAACGACTTTTGGGGAATATGAAATAGAGCGAAGAAAAATGAGGAGTCACTCTCTAAGAATTCTATAAATACACCCCATAAAAAAATTTTGATCAACTAACCAAGCAAACAATTACTCACTAAAACACAATCCATAAAAAAATTATTCTTCTGATGTGATCTTCAGACAGACGTACAAAAAATATGTTTACATAAAAGAAAAATACACTTTTTTCTACATAATTTTTCTTGTGCATCTGTCGAGAATCACATCAGAAAAAGTTGTTTTATTCATTGTGTCGCCACAGAGTTATTGTAATTATATTATTTGTGAATGTTCACTTTCGACAGGAAGTATACTGTTAGTACTTTATACCAAAATCTGGATATAGTATTGACAGTATACTTCTTGTAGAGTGAGATACAAGTAATTTTGCTCAGTAGGTAATAAGAAATGTATATCGTTTTTCAAAAGTTTTTGCTATTGTTGATTTTTTATTATTCACTAGAATTTTTAGGAAAAACTCTAATTATGTAGAAAAATGTTATTTACCTCGAATGAGAACAAATATTGTGTAAGAAATACAAACATTTTAATTGGGATTTTTTAACTTGAACTATAACGATTTTCCAATTTTGTAGGATTGTTAGATTTATTATTTCTCATCGCAGCAATTGTCTAAAATAACCAAAAATCGCAGATAGTGTTAATTGCTAGAAGCGTGCGGGCTAGTTTTATCAAATTTTAATGTTATTGGATATAGTGTTAATTGTATTGGGTTGAATTATACAATATTGATAGTTTATAGTGTGTAGTATGATGTACCTAAATTTTATGCTCAGTGTTGTATATATCCTATTTCTGTTTTATGAAAAGTGAAAAAAATTATGAAGATCACATATACTACCGAAAGAACTCATAATTGTGACGATGTATCTTGTTTGAGAAATTGTGATAATTCGGTATAAAGAACATGTCATAGTTCTTGTAATCATTAAGTCAATTAACTGAGAATCGAGAAATGACATTAATAAAGAAATTTATTATTGGTTTAGAAAGGAAAAATCAAAGATGTAAATAAATTTAAAACACGAAATTATTATGTATAATAACATGAATTATTCGTAGGAGCATCGTAATCCATTAATTGCTGTTCTGATTACTGCAAAAAAATGTATAATAAAATTTAATACCAAATATGTATTTCTCTATAATCGATATAAATAATATAAATAACAAACCTTGAACAGATGAAATTTTCTTGACGGAGGTGGATATTATAAATTGGATTTAAAAACAGTTTGAATCTCTTGATAACAAAATCTTCAATATCAAACCATGAACCTTCGGTTAGCAGAGGTTCGAATAAATCATGAAATTGTCGTCTAACCCGAGTGCGTATTGTATGGTCCTTTACAAATGAAAGAATTTGAATATTTTGGTAGATAAAAGAATATATGTTAATTAATGTAGTTTATTAGTGATACCATAAAAGATAAATTTTACCTTCGCATCAGCAAGAACCAATTCTAATGTTACGCCTTGATGTGGTATATATTCAAACCACTTTCTCACGAGTTTCACACGGATGCACCATTCAGTTGAGCTGTTGTTCAAGTCTTCAATGTAATCAAGTGGTTCTATTTTCTGATAAGATGTGAAGACTATATAAGTTGTTAGTGTTTGTATATATATTGGAAACTTATCAAGAGGGCAATAATTTAGGGTTCCAAAGATTTTCAGCCATGAATTCTAAATAAAACGTATATTGAGTCATTATATCATCAAATATCAGGTTCGGTAAGTTACAATGGGCATCATATATACAATATATCAACTTCTATAATTGCATTTCTGTTTATGGTAACAATACGTTTGTTAAATGGAAGATATAGTAATCTTCCATTTAACACTTATTATAATTTATACCTTTTTTCGGCAAAATAGTACTTTATTAATTGAAATTGGTGTTACAATCAGAAATTACAGCATTATACAACCAGATAGGAGGATACATTTTTGATGAATAAAACAATAAATTAGGAGGTCCATTTTTAGCGAGTAGATGAGCTGGAACATTGTTTGTTCTCTTTGTGTGAAGGAACTTGCAAGAAGTAAATCTTTGTTTCCAACTTTGAATATCCCAGGAGATGGTTTTGATATTGTAATTGTGCTGTTTGTTGTTGAGAATATCAATGAGGACTTTGCAATCACCTTCAAAGCAGACATGAGTCATTCCTTGAGCCCAGACCTGTTGCACTGATAGTAGCATTGCTCTTGCTTCACCTTCAAGTGGAGTTGTGGTTGATCCCAAAGAGGCTGAACCCCAAAAACATGGAGATCCTCTATAATCTCTAACAATCCAGCCCGCTGTAGCCCGGTTTTGCTCCACGTTCAAACTTGCATCAACATTACATTTGACGTAGTTAACTTTTGGTGGTTTCCATGGTTCTTGATTATTGCGAAGAGAAATACTACGAGATTCATGGTCATGTGATGTTTGTTCAACAGCCTTTAACCATTGAGAAACGTCCACCTCTGCTTCATGAGCCACTCTTTGTGGACAGACACGTATCCTTTTGAAAATCAGATTACATCTTGATTTCCATATCCGCCATAAGACCCAGATAGGAAGTAGTCTTTGAAATTCAGAAATTCCCTCTTGTTTTTGGAAAGTAATGATACTTTTAATTTGATCTTCCACATCATCATTGGCAGAAACAAAAGGTAGCCACAGGGATCGAGATGTTCTCCAAATCATCATTGAAATTGGGCAGTTAAAGAACGTATGGCATATGGATTCTGGAGCTGCGCAACATCGTTGACATGTATTATCAAATTGCATCCCTCTAGAGTTTAACCGAGTAGCAACTCCTATATTGCTTTTGAACATAATCGCCAAAGAAAATGCTTTAACTCTGGCATTATTGACATTTTCCAAATTTGATATTTAGTTCCGGATCACCATGAGGGATGACAATATCTGGATTAGCAGAACGAGATGCATTGAAAACCATCCAATATCCGCTTTTAACCGAGTATTCTCCTGAAGTGTTGTGAGCCCAAACCACTTTATCTTCTTTTGGAACCTGTGGTAGATATATGTTTTTAATATGTTCTTGATCCTCTCTTTCCACCATTGCACTTATTTTTTCTATGTTCCAGAAACGATGATTGTTAGTATCGCAAATAAGATCACTAACTTTCATGTCATGATTACTGGTTCTAAGTCTCACAGGCCTTGGAGATGGATGGGAGATCCAGTTATCTTGTTCAGCACATATGTTTAATCCATCCCCGACTATATGTAAGCAACCTTTCTTAATCACCTCTACTCCATGAAGTATAGAACTCCAACCATATGACTGGTTAGCTCGTGTTTTTTTTATCCAAAATGGAGGTGTCCTTATAATACCGAGCTTTCATGATCTTAGCAAAGAGTGAATACGGATGTCTAAGCAATCTCCAAGCTTGTTTCACAAGAAGGGCATCATTGAAGAATGATAGATCTTTAAAGCCTATTCCTCCTTGCTTTTTAGAAAATTGAAGTCTCTTCCAGGCAATCCAGGGTATTCCTTTATTCTGGTCATCTTTCTCCCACCGAAATCTCATCAGAAGTTTGCTAATTTCATCTGTTATATGTGCTGGAATTTTAAAGCATGACATCGAGAAAACCGGCATTGCTAGTCCAACAGACTTGATTAGAATTTCTTTTCCTGCTGGCGAGAGGAACTTAGCTTTCCAAGTAGAAGTTCTCTGTTGAACTTTGTCAATAATATATGTAAACATCTCCTTCTTTTTTCGGCCAAATTGCTCAGGTAAACCCAAGTATTTACCGCCACCTCCATGTTTATCAATTCCAAGAATTTGTTTTAAACGTGCTTGTAGATCACCAGGAATCTTAGAACCGAATGTAATCGTTGACTTTGATGGGTTAATTTGTTGCCCTGACCATTGTTCATATGTTGTGAAAATGTCTTTCAAAGTTTTACAGTTTTTGTTGTTTGCCTGACAAAAGAAAAGGGAATCATCTGCAAAAAGAAGATGAGTAACTGATGGTACTCCATTTCCTATCTTAATGCCTCTGATTTTTCCTCTTTGTTGAGATCTTTGAATTAAATGGCTTAGAACTTCTGCACAAAGAATGTATAGATAAGGAGACAATGGGTCTCCTTGTCTTAATCCCCTTTCAGGTTTGATTCTTCCTTGTGGGTTTCCGTTGATTAGCACAGAGTATTCTACTGTCTGAACTGATTCCATTATCCAGGTGATCCAACGTCCATCAAATCCATAAGCTTGAAGCGTTTTTTCAAGAAAGCTCCATTCAATGCGATCGTAAGCTTTAGAAATATCAGTTTTGACAGCCAAATAAGTCTGAGAGACACGTTTCCTTGATTTTAAGGAATGCTTAAGTTCATGGGCGATCATTATGTTGTCAGTAATCATCTTTCCAGGGATGAAAGCTGCTTGTGCCTCAGAAACAATGTCGCTTAAGTAGACTTTAAGTCGGCTAACCAAAATTTTAGAGATGATTTTGTACAATACATTGCAAAGACCTATTGGACGATAATCTGACAAGGTCTGAGGTTTCTTGATCTTGGGAATCATACAAATATTCATATGGTTAATATTTGGTTTCATTTTCCCTGATTCAAAGAAGTCTTTGACTTCCTGTATAACATCTTTCCCCACCACATCCCAACAGGACTGGTAAAACCGAGCTGTTAGACCGTCAGGGCCTGGTGATTTGTCAGCACCAATTGAGTTGATTGCAGAAATGGTCTCTTGTTCTGAAATTTCTTTTGTCAGGTTTGTGTTCATCTCTGATGTGACTTTCTTCTGAAAGTTTGAAAATATGTTTGTTCTGCAAGTATTTGGTTTACTCTTGTAAACTTTACTGAAAAATTCCTCCGCGTGTTTACCAACTTCAAAATCCCCTCTGTATGAAAAGCCTTCATCATCATTGATGCTGAGAATCTTATTTTTTGCAAACCTTGTTTTGGTGCAAGCTTGGAAGAAGTTAGTATTTCGATCTCCTTGGGTTAACCATGTGTTTCTGCTTTTTATCTTCCAATAAGTCTCTTCATCATGGTAAGCCTGAGCAAGATCTCGTTGGATTTGCACAATCGTCTCATAAGAGGTGTTAGAATTAGAAGTGGCAAATTCTAATTCAATTTCAAGTTCCTCTATTCTTTTTGATGAGTTGAGCTTTGAGTTTCGGCTACAGTATGCCATTGATTTCCTGCATTCTCTTATTCTGTCAGATATCCTTGGATTTTGAATTCTATTTCGACAGTTTCAACCTTTTTGCACATACTCTTTGAAGCCACAAACTTGTAATAGTCGTTTGTCAAACCTAAAGGTTCTCTTCTGAATACCTTCGATAGATGCTATTGTAGTTACTATTGGCCGATGATCAGAACCAAACAACCCCAAAAATTGTGCTTCTGAGGCTGGAAATTCAGCCAACATCTCTGAGTTTACAAGGACCCTATCTAAGCAGCATTTAACCGTATGGTTATGTCTCTTCCCAATCCAAGAAAAACGATTGCCTTTGCTCTGAAGATCACTTAAGTCACAGTTGCTGTAGAGGTTTCTAAAGTCTTGGAAACTTTTCTCATCTCGTAAGGGACCTCCTTCTTTTTCAGCGTTAGACATGATTTCGTTGAAATCACCTATAAGCATCCAAGGACCAGCTCTTGAATCATTAATGGTTTTTAGTCTTTCCCATAACTCGTGTCTATGTTTTTTTGTTTGGGTGGCCATAGACACAAGAAAGATAATAGAAAATACCATTAACATTCACACCAACATCAATAAGTCTTGCATCAGCTACATACTTAGTAATATGTACATCATTATTCCAGAGTAAAGCCAAGCCTCCACTCCTCCCTAATGGAGGAACGGTAATTATGTTATCATATCCTAAGTACACACATAAATCCCTTAATACATTACATCTATGCATAGTTTCAACTAAGAAAAGAACATCAGGCTTAAATTTTTTACATAAGTCCACAAGCCTCTTCTCGGTCGGCGATCCCTCAGGTCCGAGACCCCGACAGTTCCAGGAGACGACTCTCATGGGGGAAACTGTGGGGGTACCGGGCCCCTCGCGCCTCTATCAATCAGAGATGATGCAGAGCAGGATCCCTGCGATTCTTCAAAGTTGAAACGTTGATGCACAGGACTCAGAACCGTCATGTACATACTTGGCTGAGCATTGTTTTCTTGGATTTCACCAATATGGAGCCGTTTACGCTTTTTAAATCCACCCGGAGATTCCTCCTCACGCATGTAGGCCGCAAAGACTTCCATGAAGTCATCCTCCTTAAACTTCCCTTTAGCCATCTTTGCTTGAAGATAACGAACTGTTTCGACAGTGATATCATTATCATTCAAGCGTGGCTGTGGAATGTATTACGTGTCATTATTAAAACCAGGAGACATCGGTACCATTGGGAGATCACCATCCACATACTCCCTCTCAACCACTCGTTGGTTCTCTTGATCACCATTGCCCTCGTTTCCCGGATCGTTATCATCATTATCATCATCATCAAAATCATTAAGTGGACACTCTTTCGCATCATATGTTAACATACCACATTTGTTGCAAAAGTTTCTCAAACGTTCAAACCAGAATTTTAACAAGGTGTTCTGATCTACACCAAACTGAAAATTCCGTTGAAAGCGAAGGGGATTGTCTAAATTCCAATTTACCTTTACCCTGACGAAATCGACGCGAGTTGATGTTGCATCGAAGTCGATGGTCATCACTTCTCCAAGATGTCGGGCTACAAATCGGATCATTTGCTCGGTCAGGAACTGCAGTGGTATGCCCCGAATCTGGATCCAAAAAGGTATGATCTTCAGTTCCTCTTCTGGGAAATTTGGAGACCATTTCTGGAGCACAAGCATCCATTCGTTAAAAGACCATGGACCCCGACTTAGCGTGAGATTCATAGCCTCCTCAGATTGGAAAATAAACTGAAAGCAGTTGGGGCCAACAATTCTTCCAATCACAGCATTTCCCAAACCCCAAAGGCGTGGCATGTGACTAAGCATCGGGCGAAGAGGTTGCTTTCTTGGATTCACAGTCGTTCCTACCAGAGTGAAACGATTCGCACTCGCTGCTTGAACACAAAGATCCGGTGGTAAGGAAATTGCTTCATCATTCGCTCCTAGATTAAGGTCCTGAAGATTACGCCTTATAAAATCACTCATTTTGAACAGTGGAGTGAGAAGAGTGAGAAGAGTGAAAAGGAAAGCGCGAAGGGTGTATATATAGGAGATTATCCATGGCGGTTTTGGTTTCTGTAACTTCTCCGAAAACGAGGAGACATAAAAACCGTTGGATAGACTTCCTAAGGGACATAAACCAACTAGTTTGACCCCAGAAATCTGGGGAAAAACTGTCGGAAAATCACTCCCTCTGTGAAGACGATGACGGTTATCGCAATCACAAAAATCGCCTCTTCTAGAGAGAGACATCGGAATATGTACCTAAATTAAATGTACATGTTTACACAAACTTTAGAAATTGATAGCAATTAGTCAGTGTATGTTAATAAATGTTATGAGAAGTTTTAAAAGCATAATTATAAGCAATGTTTATAAAAATAAGATAAAAACCATAAACTGACCAAATCTCTAAAGACTCAGCAAAAAAGTAAAAGGTTCAACATCATCCCCAAATAAATGAGAATTGAAACAGATATAGTATAGTGTAAGATGAAATAAAATCGGAGTTGAAGTAGGATTTCACGGCCAGCTTGGATCTCCATGGATATCAGTAAATAGTAACCTGAAAAATTAAACCAATACAATTACCTAAACCACAAATACAATGTAAACTGAATAGAGGTTTACTTATAATAGTGTTATATCAATCTAGAAAATTGGAAATTTTTTTAATATGTGGATTAAAAAGTACTTCAGATTGGTCACCAACATTTCTGATAAAGAAGCCGCCTATAACAAAATATAATCCTATATATTAATCATTTTTTCATATGAGGATCATTAAAACATTAGGTATAATTGATATTAATTCAGCAAAGTAAATATGACTAACCTTGAGAATCATAGAAAACGCGAAACATCTTAAGAGTCAACACCGTTTCATATGTTCCAATTTCTTTCCACTTTCTCCAAAAATCCACTTATGTTTTTCTAGTCAGCTCAACTGTAAGTTCCCTGAAGCTGTTTGAAAATATAATATACATATCATCAGTGACTGATATTCCTTATGTCATATTGCTAATAACTTAACTACTTACTTCATGTCCCTTATTTCAATTTCCAAATTGCTCCATGGTCCATGTACCAAAGCATCAGGATCATTTTCTAAACTCTTCAAGTCACCAACAAAGATAATAACACCTATCAAGTCTGGGATAATACGTTCTATTAAATAAACTATACGGGATAACATTATACTCTAACAAATCATGATGGTTCAGAATACAAACCGACAGAGTACTGAGAGCATATCTTCTGGTTGATGATATTTTTGAAGGGGATGAAATCCATCATATGCTTAGGGTTGTGGGCCGAGATTTTGGTTACAACGGTGTGTTCATGCATGATGATGAAATGGTTGTTGATAGTATTCCTGAATGAGCCAAACGCATGGACGATTTGAAATTAGGAAACCGCATTCCATTCTTCTTCCTTAAACTTTTGAGTGAGGACAGGCATGAGATCCAAATCGATGGCCGCCTCAACCTTATAACCCTAACAATAGATACCAGCGATATCATAATTTGTAAATTATAAACCTAGACTGACTAAAATAATTTGTATTAATAAAAGTTATGGTAAACTACACTTACATTCTCATCGCCAAGAATCAAGTGTGTTTCAAAGCGGCCTTTGACGACATTGAATTCCTGCCATCGTCGAATAACTTTAACTATGATCGTTGGGAGAGGAGCATTGAGGGAAAGTTTATCAAGTTTGAGAAAGGTTGCCATTATTTTTTTGAAACAGGGATTTGTATTAGCAGTTGTTGCTTTGTAGTTTTGTGATCGACAAAAGGAGGAGATCTCTGTTGTTGGATAGAAAGAGTGGAATAAACTTAGAGTTGTTAATTTGAAAGATTGCGATTTTTGGTAATTAGTAAAGGGTAAATAACTGTTGCGTTAGTTGGATAAGTGAGAAATAAATGCTGATTGGAAAAGCAAAGAGGTAAGTCGTATAAATGAGAATAAAGTTTTACGGTGCAGTATTTAATAGAGGAGATATATGTCAACTCAAGAACTCCCAGTATTTGAGAAAGGCAATCAGAGTTATGAGTTTCCAAATATATTTAAAAAAGATCACTTTATCATACTTAATATTACCAAAATAGATGGAAATTATATAAACTTCTCACTGCGAAATATACTGTTATTAGTCTTGTTTATACAATTCCAACCCTTGAATGTTATAAATGGGAAACAAAATAAAGGGAGGATCAATAAATATATACTTACTGTCATTTTTTCTTCAGTTACAGAGTTCAAGTATACATAATAAATAAGGCAAATGTAACATGATTGTTGTGTCGTGTGTCGAGGGTGTCAAGTTTTACCCTAAATGAAATCAATAGCCGCAAGTGCACAGCTGATCGATTGTAGTACTTAAGGATCGAATCCACAGGGAAGGAGGCAAAAGCCTTTGAAAGAAGTATAAAGTAAGGAAGTCTAGAACCAAACGGTTTTGTGGGGGTTTTGGTGGTGTGTTTAAAATGTAAAAACGAAATCTTAAAAGAGAATAAGGGAATTAAATGGCCTAATAACTAAACTTAACGAAAATGAGTAAAAACGCAAAAAACGGAGATTCTAATTGCTTAAATGAAAATCTACTAAAAAGGAATGAGAATATTGAACTAAAGCTTGAAATAAAAACGGTGTAAATCAATAGGAAAGAAGGCGTTGGGGTTCAGGGAAGTTTTCTCAGGGGTACGAACGATTCAAAACATTGCTAGAGAGTAAATTTGATAAGTTCTTAGGTTAAACTTTTCGAACTGGAGTCACGGACGTATGAATACGCCACTGTCGTGATCATAGACAACTATCTCTCTAAACCCTGACCAGTAGGTTTCCACTCTGGCCCTGGAAGAGAAGAGATGCATTATGTTTAAGACTCGTCCTCATTCACAAATCGCCCATAGGTAGGTTTCCACTCCTATGTTTGTTTTGCTCTCCCAAACTAGATCTGATACCTGATGAACACTTTCGTGTCACCAAGCATCTGAAATAGATTGTAGTTCATGACGCTACTCTCATGCAGTAAAAACGAATTCAGAAGAAAAAGTTCTAAGATTCGGCTCAAAAACTCATGGAATCCTCATCGAACGTATAAATCCCCATCGAAAATCCCTTAATCCCAACAATAAAACTACTCAGACATAATGAACGAAATCAAAAACATAGTATTAATAAGTAGAATAGAAACCGAAATTGAAAAAAAAAGAACAAGGGTTCAAGAGACAAATCTCTCTCTTCCTAAAACCTAAAACTTAAAAGTATTCTAAAGCAATAAGAAAAATAGCATATATGATGTTCGATTAGGGTTCCTAGGACATGTATTTATAGTGCTCAAGACCTCTCTGGACGTCAGTTAGGGTTTCTCCAAATGAGAGAATCATTGTGGGCTTCAGAAATGGGCTTTTGGGCTCGGAATTGGCTGGCCGCGGTCGGGATTGCTGTGACCGCGGGGAATGAGTGTTTGGCCGCAGTCGGGATGCTTCTGACCGCGGGAAATGGCCTGTTGGCCGCGGGTGGAGTTGCTTGCCGGCTGGTTTACAGGACATCTTGCTCTTCGCGTATCTTTTGATTGAACCGTTGGATTGCCAAGCTGTAAAGTGCACTGGAAAGCTGATACTTCCATCTTTAAGGTCTCCAAATTTGAGCTGGATCAGACGGTGAGAAGGCCTTCAATCAGGGGTGAACTTCTGACGGTTTGACTCTGAGCTGAAATCTGGTTTTCTATCCATTTTGTTAAACTTTTCCCTAAGTTACCTGAAAAGAGTCTTGGAACTACAAATACTAGAAAAACGTAATAAAAGTACTTAAAAGCAATTAAAAACATAAAAAAAGTATTTCAAAACGATCCATAAAAGTGATCAAAATACGGTGTTATCATAACACGACAAAGAAAATAGAATCATAAACAATACAGATCAATGAGAAATTGACATAATAATTAAATTCATGTATTTGTAGCTTTAACATATGGGTCAGAAAATAATTCAACCATCATATTCATATCCATCGTGACAACAGAAAATTAATGGTTTAACATTATTTATAGTACTCAAAAAACAAAATTTCATTAATAATTGACATAAAATCCCTGACAAGAACATTATAATAGATGAAGTAAATAATTACATAAACTGACTATCTCCGCTTCTAGCAATATACGTGGTCCTCGAGAATGTCGGATATATAAATTTCAGATTATACTATCCATTATAACTTCTTAATTATCAAACTTTCCAATTATTGTATAAGTAAAATTTCCACGGTACAACGAATTAACATTACGTTATGCTAAGTAGGTAAAAAAGTTTTGTTCATATACAAAGAATAAATGATACTACGTTTGATTACTTGTAACTTATTTAATTTTCCGTATAGGTTATAATATGTACTTTATATCTATGATAGTTAGTCATTTATTATTTATCACATATTTTGAAATTTTTTTAAATACCTCAAGCATGCTTAACTATATCTCCAATAATCACATTACAAAAATACTGTATAAAACAATGGAAAGCGTTTAGGCTGGTTCAGAATGACATTGAGCCACAATAAATAGGCTAATTTGATAATGTTTAGATATCGCATAAAAACCTAAACAGATTGTCGTAAAGAGCATCTAAAAATCTTACTGAACATATCTTTGTACACAACATTAGTTGTCTTCTTCTGCACGTTACCACTCTTATCAGTAATCAAAATCTTCAAACCAGACCTAGACTTCACCTTTGATAATGCAACATATAGCTGTCCATGTGAGAATACTGGTCTAGGTAGGAATAAACCAAAATTTTGAAGAGATTGATCCTGACTTTTGTTGATTGTCAATGCAAAAGCCAATGTCACAGGAAATAGTCTTCGACGCATTCTAAAAAGAAAACTCGGTTCCGGAGGTGTAACGAACATTCTAGGAATGAGAACCTTATCTCCAACCTTATCGGTTCCTGTTATGATTCTACCCTCTATAACATGGCGAGCTAAATGTGTAACAATCAACCTAGTGCTGTTACATAGACCTCCCTTAGGATCAATGTTACGCAAACACATAACTGGTGCACCTATCTTGAGTTTCAAACATTGTTTGGGTAATCCAGAAACTTTGATTCCATTCAAAAACTCTGTAGGATATGTTACCTTATTAGATGGGTCTTTGTCGTTGGGTGCAATGCTGTCAGCGCTCAGGTAGGTATGTAATTCACCTATAAATATATATTATAGGAAATTAAGTACTTTATTATATGTAGTGGGATTCAATAATATATAAATAAATATATATATATATATATATTACGTATAATATGTATAAATAATGTGTTACCTGGCAGCAATGACAACATATAATCGTTAATTTGATCAACATCTTTGTTTGTGGGACTCAAAATAGCACGATGTTGATAAAAGTCTTCAGCATGTTGACTACTTATTAAGTTTCCATACACTTCTTTAACTATAGTTTTCATTGGATCGCCACAATCTTTGATCAATAAATCTTTTGGAATATCAATATCCACAACGCCATCATTTGGAGTATTGACTTTACCATCACCAACAACTAATATCCATTCAGAGAATGCCTTAAGTTCAGCGGCAGCGACATCACTTAGTCCAGCAAGCAACCTCATATTCTTTGTAAGTTGTAAAACTTTGCAATCATCCCATAGTGCTGAAGAATTGATTGTTGCCATAACTGTTTCTGATCGGCCATCATGAGGAATCACCGGAAGTATCTGACGGAAGTCACCTCCAAAAACAACCACCTTCCCACCAAATGGTTTTCTCACAGGTAATCTGATGATATCATTTAGACTTCTATTTAAGTTTTCGAAACAATACTTGCTCATCATCGGAGCCTCATCCCATATAATAAGGTCAGCCCTTTTCATCAAATTGGAAAGATCTGATCCAGGAGGCATATTGCATTGTGAAAAAAACATCTGGATTTATTGGGATTCTGAACCTCGAATGTGCTGTTCTACCACCTTCTAACAACAGAGCAGCAATCCCACTCGATGCAGTGTTGATAACGATCTTACCTCTAGATCGAATAGCGGTTGAAAGGCAACTCCAACGAAATGTTTTACCAGTACCTCCAAATCCATATACAAAGAAAACACCACCTTTGTTGTTCAAAACGGCATCCAAAATCTCTTCATAAACACCTTTCTGCTCATCTGTTATCATAGCCAGAAGTCTCTCATTCTCTTTTCTTTGATCCTCAGCATTGTAATTGAGTTCATCATCAATCAATCGGTTGCCGTTGTACTCCATGAAATTATCTGGTTTTGGCATACATTTAAATTTCTTTAGTGAACGTCCTCTGCTTTCTAAGAAATCCTGAATCTCTTGCAATGCTATATTTTTAATCTGCTCGGTCGATAGATTTAAACCTGAAACAATAACAACACACAAAGATATAGTTAAGCATGATGACCAAGTTGGAAATTGTATCTTGTAGAGCAAGCTTCATGTATTAAATAATTACAACTATTTCATACCTTCATATCCGCTTTCAAGACGACGTCTGTAAAGTATATCATCAGTCAAATACTCATAAGTTGCTTCCCAGACTACACCAGGTTGTGTTGAACAATCACCTAGCAACATTATACTGAAAAAAGCCTGAGATACCATCCTGAAGCCCAGATGCTAGCTTCTTTGATGCCTTCGATATATTCTTTGTCATCATCCAACAATCCTAACACATCACATGCTTCTTTGAAAGTATTAAAGACAACACCATCAACTGTTTTAATATCATCATAACATGTTGGACCTCTGACTATATTAATTAACATCCTCAGATAGTACGTACATCTCGTCACCGTTTGGATGGATATGAGCAATCCTTCCAATAGTAAAGCTTCGTTTTCGAGGCTTCCACTCTCTATCCTTTAGATGCCAAACAAATTATGTTGGTGGCTCTGCATAAGTTAGCTTACACGCATCTGGATATTTTTTACATGCTTCAAACCAACCTAGAAACATTGAAACACTAACACCAACCCGTTTCAAAATAGACTCAAGAGGTTCGTCTTCATCATGGACATAAACTTCACGGTTCGGGAGATGGAAGCAAAGTTTTTCCACCGAAACACTCCTATAATGAGTTGGAAAACCTAAAATTTTCCATGCTGCTTTGCAAGCAGAGACGTATCTACATTTTTAGGGAAAAAAGTGTTTTAAACGTCTCAAAAATATTTTAATCATATAGGCCATATAATATATAGGATTATTGCAAAAATATACCTGCAGTTATAATAATTCTTAATTTCATCCACAACTCCATCCTCATCTTTGTCTAAACCCGCAGAGACATAGTCAGGACCCTTATGAATATATTTGAAAAGATATTTCACAGCACGCGTTTGAGTGCACCACTCAACATTTATATGTGGACGATAACGTAGCATAAGATCCCTATTGTATGGAACAACATATCCATTGTCAAGATTTATACCATTTTTGGTGAAAACCCTATTATCCCTGCACCGCCGGTATGATGGAAAGCCGTTTGAATCCATCAAAGTTTCATCATTGAAAGGTCTTGGAAAACTCTTTGAGCACTTCCCGTTCACCATGCAAACATTGTCAGGTTTAGCAGCTCCACACGGTCCATGCATCATTGATATATCATGGTTTTTATGGTTTTTGTCCATGATATATGTCTTATTTATAGAGTCTTTTTAGTGTTTTTCGAGTCTTTTGGAGTCTTTACAGGTCCTAGGAACGTTTGGAGCTTAATTGGAGATATTGGAGCATTTTGGAGCTAAATGGATGGATTTTCGTAAAGGATGATTTCAGCTGTGCATGAGTGTCGCTCGATACTACCATCGGTGTCGCTCGACACCGAGGACCACAAAAGGGAAAACGTGATTTTATCCAATTTCTGAAGAATCTGTGAAGCCCTGAAGTCTTTAGTATTTACAAAAAGGCCCAAAACGTGTTTTTAAATTTAAGAAGGGTTTTCTGCCTCCTTCATCGATACCTTTTACTTTTGAGACTTTCAGAGAGAAAACTTTTGTCATCTATACTTTCGAGAGCTCTTGGGGAGACAAGTCTGAACTCTGTAGAGAGAAGATTTCGAACCCTTGTTATTTATTCAGTGATTTCTTATTTGCAATCTATTCATTCATGTCTGTTGCTTTAATATTCATGTCTGAGTAGTTAACTTGTTAGGTTTAGGGTTCTCATAAGGAATTTCATTGAATGTTGGATTGATTTGCTAGTTAGGGTTCATAATCTGATTAGTTTTTCACCATAGGTTGTTCTTAAAGCTAATTCTGGACTGGCCACCTAGAACTTAGATCTTAGGTTTATTGATTGACACGAAAGTGTAATTGAATAATTGGAAAGAACCTAGGGTGAGCAAAGTAGCTATCCGCAAAGAAATTTGGTTTAGATACGTTGTGAACATATCAAACCTGCACTTAAGGCTAGTTTATATCTTTAGGATTTGCAAAGAAATTTGGGATTCTACGATTTAGACTTAGATAATTCTCGCAACGAAAGTTGGTTAATTATAATTTCGTGATTTGAGTTCAAGAACCGCGCTTAACCTGAATCCTGACTAGTTGATTTATCTGCATTCTCTGATTTCCTGAGAAAAACCCTGAGCCTAATTCTTTTCCATCGAGTTTACAACCGTTTTGATTTCATTGCTGCTTTTAATTTCATTGTTTTTGCTTAGCGTAATTCGAGTCTAATTGGTTTATTGAGTGAATCTCTCGTCTCTGTGGTTCGACCCCTGCAATACTACAACTGCACATCTGTGCTCTTGCAGAGTAGCTCTAGAGATTAAACTTTGAGCAGATCAAGTTTTGGCGCCGTTGCCGGGGACTTGATTTTCGCCATTAGACTTTAGTTCTTGAGTTTCGACTAAGTTTTTCTTAGTGTCGAGCGACACCAGCACTGGTGTCGCGCGACACCCATCGTTTTTCTTAATTTTATTTTTTTACTTTATTACTTACATTGTTCTTTCTCTTTGTCTCAGAAACCAGCAGAGATGGAGAATGCATTGGCATTGGTTCATGATGATGTTGGAGTCTGGAGAGACCAAGATGGTCATGTGTGTAATGAGAGAGGCCAGCGACTTGATGGAGAGGGTAACATCATCAGGACGCTGGGTGACTACAACAGACCTGAGCAATTCTATGCAAATCGGTCTTCGATTCGCGCTCCTGCGTTTCAGAGGAATGACTTTGAGCTGAAGCCTGTGTATTACACTCTTGTGGGACAGCATCCTTTTCATGGTCACTCTCATGAGCACCCTATGGATCACATCGAGAGGTTTGAGGACTTGGTCACCAGTATCAAATACAATGGAGTGTCCAATGATTTCCTCCTCTGCAAGTTGTTTCCTTATTCTCTTGGTGGAGAAGCAGCTAACTGGTTGAAGCAGTTGGAGCCAGGATCACTCACTACTTGGGAGGAGACCAGGAATTCCTTCCTGCACAACTTCTTCAATGATGCTAGGTCTGAGGAATTGAGAACAAAAATTTCGACATTCTCTCAAGAACCAACTGAAGCGTTCAAGGCTTCTTGGGTGCGATTCAAATCATATCAGAGAGATTGTCCACATCATGGTTTCAGTGATGTTCAGCTGCTGGGTATTTTCTTCAGAGGTGTTGATTGGAGGTATCAGATGGCGCTTGATGCTGCAAGTAATGGGAATTTCAACACCAGATATCCTGAAGATGTTGTTGTGCTTATTGAGAACTTGGCATCTAGCAATAGTACCAAGAATGCAGACTCTCAGCGAAGGAAGCAGGATGGAAACATGGATGGATCGCAGATTGCTGAGGTGAAGGCTAAGCTGGACTCTGTGCACAGTCTTCTTGTGGGTAAGAAATCTGTCAGATTCGAACCTGATGAAGAAGCTGAGCAAGAGGATGTTAACTTCATCAATGGAACTGGATTTCAGGGCCAGAGATTTGGTACTCAGTCAGGGAACATGAATTACAATGGAAATAATCAGAAGAGTACCTTCACAGGTAATCAGAACTCTTCTGGTTATAACTCCAATCCTCAGTACCAGACATCCTACTCCAACAACAGGTTTTCAAGGAATTATGGTTCTCCTCCTCCTCAAACTCCTGATAATGAGATGAAATCTATGCTGGAACAGATCTTGGAAGGTCAGCAAAAGATTACTGTGGATTTCAATGGGAAGATTGATGCTCTGTATCTGGATTTGAATGGAAAATTCGAAGCTCGGAACACTCATGTCAAAAAGCTGGACATTCAAGTTGCTCAAACTGCTGAGGCTGTAAAAAGGCAAGAAGGATTTCTTCCTGGGAAGACTGACACCAACCCAAGACATTACTGTAGTGCCATCACGTTGAGAAGTGGTAGAAAGCTTACTCCTGAGCTTAAAAAGGGTGTTTCTGAGGATGAAATCGTGGAACTGGAGGAATCTGCTGAAGATTTTAAAACTGCAGAGCCGGTGTCGAGCGACACCACCACTAGTGTCGCGCGACACCAAGTCGAAGATACGAAGAAGGCACCAGCAGTGTCGAGCGACACCACCACTAGTGTCGAGCGACACCAGCCGCCATCTGAGGAAATCATCACCAAGAAGCCAAAACCAGCCGAGGAAAGGGTTTACAAACCTAAGATTCCTTACCCAAGGAGTCCTAAGAGCTCTAAGCAGGAGCTAGACGATGCCAGATGCAAGGCTTTGATGGAGAAGCTTGTGATTGAGATTCCTTTGGTTGATGCTGTGAAGATTGCTCCTACTCTCAGACACTATGTGAAGAAGATAGTGACTAATAATCTGAGTCATGAGGAAGGAGTGATGATGATTTCTAAACAGGTCAGTGCTGTGATTCAGAATAAGATGCCAGAGAAGCTTTCGGACCCAGGAAGCTTTGTTTTGGACTGCTCTATCTTCTCAGAGAGGTTCAAGAGATCGCTGTGTGATCTTGGTTCGAGTGTCAACCTCATGCCATACTCTGTAGCTGTTAACCTTGGGATGACTGACTTCAAGCCAACTAAGATCTCTTTGATTCTAGCAGATCGATCTAAAAGAATCCCAAAAGGTGTCTTGGAGGATGTTCCGATTAGTTGGTGATTGCATAATTCCTACAGATTTTGTGGTTCTGGAATATGGAGAGGAACCCAAAGATCCTCTTATCTTGGGAAGATCGTTTTTAGCTATAGCTGGAGCGGTAATTGATGTCAAGCATGGTAACCTTGATCTCCACCTGGGAGATACCATCATGACTTTCAAGATGGAGAAGCTGAAGGATTCAACCATAGATGGTCAGACATTCCAAGTCAGTGCAATACCTGAAGTGATAGTTGGAGATCCGAACGTGTTTGATGCTGAAAAGGTGAGAGATCAACCTGAGTTGACGAAAACGTCTACAGAACCAGTGACTGCTGTTGATCAGGAAGCTCACAACATCATGTTCCATTCATCTCCACCAATGCAAAGGTCAAGGTCACCCAAACACAGATCTCACCCTGGTGCTATTCCTGCATTCCTTGGACGACCTCATGCGCACAACGCTTACACACCACCATGGATGAGACGACTTTCACAGAGGCATTCTTTGTCACTGTCTGATCCACCAGATGCATAGTCCATCCATCAAGTCAAGCTAATGATTTAAAAAAAAAGCGCTTGGTGGGAGGCAACTCACTGGTAAGTCTGTACATAAGTCTTTTTGTTTCTTTTGATTTTTGTTTTATGTTTTTGTGTTTTAGGTGTAACAGATACGAAGTGGTTGGTGTCGAGCGACACCACCATCAGTGTCAGTCGACACCAGTCAAAAAAAAAAAAAAATTAAGAAATCAGAAAACCAGAGTCAAACCAGAAATTCGGATGAATCTGCTGCAATTCAGTACGAAGAGAACAAGTGTCGCACGACACCATCATCGGTGTCGCTCGACACCATCATTGCGGCCAGGTAAATTCTCTGTTTTTCCTGCGTTTCTCTGTTTCCTTCTTTTGTTTCACCAACTTCGGACTACATAACACTGGGGACAGTGTTGTTTAAGTCTGGGGGAGGTAGTTGCTGACATTTTGTTTGTTTTTCTTAGAGTTAGTCGTGTCAAAAAGTTTTTGAGTCAAAACCTGTTGGAGATTATGATGCTTTTCTTGGAATCATTGTGCTGACCTTTCATCTAAGTGACCACTGCTGCAGATTCAGTCTAGATCCGACTAATGAAAAATCCTGAAGCTGACCAGTTGACTAGAGGCGTCCATGTTTCCAACAGAATCCACTAACCTGAGCTAATTTCTGAACTCTTTCTTTTACCTCATTGATGTGACTGATGTTCATAGAGCTTGATTCCTCGTTCATACTTGACAAATGAAAGCCTGTGTGAAATTTAATGTTGGTGTTTCTCTCCCTGTGACGAGCTAAAAGGTGAAGAAGAAAAAGAAAGAAAAAGGCGTAAAGATTGAAATGATTTTCGCTTAGGAGTGAAGGGCTAGGAAAATTTCCAAGGATCGCATTATTTCACTTCTAAGTTGGAATAATCACACAAAGGAAGGAAGCGAGGGGTAGGAAAGTTTCCTATGACCCCACTATTCGCTGAAAACCTTTGATACAAGGTAAGGGGACAACTCGGAGACTCGATGGCAAACACCATCAGTACTCGCAGCTTTAACCTTATCGTGTATATGCCATAAAAAAAAGTGGATGAGTGTGCGAAAAGAACAAGTTTGGGGGAGAGAAAAGTACCAAAGTGTGTATGGCTGATTTTTTTGAGTATAGTACGGGAAAGAATCTAGAAGGTTCTTGGCATCTGAATCATCAGTGAGATCCAGCGATGAGGGTTTATGGACAATGTTGTAGAATTTTGGACTTAATCTGTAAAGCTGTGAATGTCTGCGGAGAAGTACATGGTGGTTCGATTTGGAATGATGAAGCAGTATTTGGGTTGCAGGGTGATCGGTCAAAAGCGATGTTCCAATGAAAGGTTGAGTCTCCGTGTTTTCAAACCTCTTTCTCTTATTTGGTGTTCTGTTTGCTTGAGGGCAAGCAAATGCTAAGTCTGGGGGAGTTGATATATCATGGTTTTTATAGTTTTTGTCCATGATATATGTCTTATTTATAGAGTCTTTTTGGTGTTTTTCGAGTCTTTTGGAGTCTTTACAGGTCTTAGGTACGTTTGGCGCTTAATTGGAGATATTGGAGCATTTTGGAGCTAAATGGATGGATTTCCGTAAAGGATGATTTCAGCTGTGCATGAGTGTCGCTTGACACTACCATCGGTGTCGCTCGACACCGAGGACCACAAAAGGGAAAACGTGATTTTATCCAATTTCTGAAGAATCTGTGAAGCCCTGAAGTCTTTAGTATTTACAAAAAGGCCCAAAACGTGTTTTTAGATTTAAGAAGGGTTTTCTGCCTCCTTCATCGATATCTTTTACTTTTGAGACTTTCAGAGAGAAAACTTTTGTCATCAAAACTTTTGTCATCTATACTTTTGAGAGCTCTTGGGGAGACAAGTCTGAACTCTGTAGAGAGAAGATTTCGAACCTTTGTTATTTATTCAGTGATTTCTTATTTGCAATCTATTCATTCATGTCTGTTGCTTTAATATTCATGTCTGAGTAGTTAACTTGTTAGGTTTAGGGTTCTCATAAGGAATTTCATTGAATGTTGGATTGATTTACTAGTTAGGGTTCATAATCTGATTAGTTCTTCATCATAGGTTGTTCTTAAAGCTAATTCTGGACTGGCCACCTAGAACTTAGATCTTAGGTTTATTGATTGACACGAAAGTGTAATTGAATAACTGGAAAGAACCTAGGGTGAGCAAAGTAGCTATCCGCAAAGAAATTTGGTTTAGATACGTTGTGAACATATCAAACCTGCACTTAAGGCTAGTTTATATCTTTAGGATTTGCAAAGAAATTTGGGATTCTACGATTTAGTCTTAGATAATTCTCGCAACGAAAGTTGGTTAATTATAATTTCGTGATTTGAGTTCAAGAACCGCGCTTAACCTGAATCCTGACTAGTTGATTTATCTGCATTCTCTGATTTCCTGAAAAAAACCCTGAGCCTAATTCTTTTCCATCGAGGTTACACCCATTTTGATTTCATTGCTGCTTTTAATTTCATTGTTTTTGCTTAGCGTAATCCGAGTCTAATTGGTTTATTGAGTGAATCTCTCGTCTCTGTGGTTCGACCCCTGCAATACTACAACTGCACATCTGTGCTCTTGCAGAGTAGCTCTAGGGATTAAACTTTGAGCAGATCAATCATATTTTCACCAACGATATTATAAAGGTCTGGATCTGTTGTCTTGTCGCGAATCTCAGCGCTGATGTACTTATCAATATCATCGGTAGTTCGTAATTTATTCTTATCTTTCACGAATAACAAAATATGGGCGTGTGGCAAACCCCTCTTCTGGAACTCTATCGTGTACATAGCTGAAAGACATTATAATAAAGTTTAAACATGGTAATACTGTTTGAATAAATTAAATGACATAATTTCACCAATGAATTACTATAACAATAAAACATACTGGCAGCTGTTGGACCAAAAATAGCGCCTTTTTTCTTCGTTAGATCAATCACCAGATTATCTAGCTTTATCTTAAAAACACAGCACATAATGTCTGGCCTATCCTCTGCTATCAGATTATATTTCTGGAGATACCGTGTAATCTCGGGCCATATTGGATTGCACGTAAATGTAATGAACAAATCCAAAATACCAAAATATTTGGATATGGCCATAGCTAGATAGTGCTGATTCATATACCGTGGTCCATTGGTAAAACTCGCCGGCATATAAATTCTTGGACCTTCTGAACTAAAATTTTCGGCACCCGCTTCAGATGTGTTCTTTATAGTTGTATAGTTATTACAACGAATCTTTTTCTGGTTGAACCACAGATAACGTAGGCTACTGGACTCTATCTTGGTATCACATCCACAAGAAACTGTTGAAAAAGTCTACCTGATCGATTGATTGTAGGAGCCTCACCACGTCTCTCAAAAATCCGGAATGCAAAAAACTCTCGCATTGTTACTGATTTATTTTTCCTAGCCTCGGATTCGTCATACGCAATTGGAATCTTCAGGTGGAAACCGTCCTCTCCATATGGGAACAATAAAGGATATTAGAGAGGAAGGTATGCAGGATGTAATTCACTAATCCTTTGGAATCCTCCGTCCGTACTGGACTCAATAATGATGTCTCTAGTTTCCATATTCAAAACAAAGTCACCTGGTATCAAAGCTGCAATTTCCTCCAAAGTACGAATATTATGAATTCTTCCATCAGCAAATCTTCATTCTATCAACCTCAATTTGAACGTCACCCCTCCATCAGCCTCATATCTATCTCTAGCTTGTCTAAATACCTTGACGTATAGATTGACTTTGTCAAGCATCTTCTTCAATATTTCCAAGACAATATACTTGAAATTATCTGTCTCCACGCCCATAGTCCTAAGAATATTACAAATAGATATTATTCAAAAAAGTATGCACATATTATGTCTTTAATTAGATAAACATAAAGTATTAGAAAATGAATATAATACGTACCCATAAGCAGTTATTATATTGTATAGCTCACTAAGAGTGTCATGGATGTATGCAAAAATTTGGGCATCTCTCCAACGTCTGGCACCATATCACCAATTTGATGATAATTCTCCCCATTCATTTTGAAGACATACGGACCACGACCATTGTTAATGGCATAATATATTCTTCCACCTAATGACGTGAAAGAGAACATCATATTGTATGCTCTGATGAACTCACGAAAATGTTTACTCAACCCATCTCCTTTGCATAACAATTCTATTAACTCCATCGGAGGATTTCTAAGTTTAGGGAGGACAATTTTCCCCTGCTTACAGCAAAGCGTGAATATGGGTATCAATTGTCTCCTGGATTTTTCTATCCGCTTTCAATACCAAAAATAAGTTCCACAGTGTCCACATTCAAAATTTGGATCTCCATCATCATAATATTCTTCCAAGAAATAATTCACATTATAGTGTTATATATGAAAATAAGTTAATAAGAAAATATACATTATTTGTACTTACTATTTGGTTGAACTCCAAATTGAAATCTTGTGGTTGATTCAACCACACTGGAAACGGTTGTCTGTTGTATATATACATCTGCATCCACGTTATTAACTTCCATTGCAATTTCTGAAGTTTCACCTTCGTCATAATTAGGATTAATATTTTCATCATAGTCGTCATTTTCTTCATTGCTGTGAGCCTTATATCTATTTTGATAAGCTATAAGATAGAAGCAATAACGGTCAATTTTATGTAGTGGATAATGTATCATAGTTTATAAAAAGTCGACAACATCATACTAATACCTTGAGGATGCTCTTTAATAACATTTGATCTGGAGTTATGTGGGCGTACTCTGGAATCATCAGGCTCAGATCCATACATTTGTAAACCCTTATTTTTTTAAGTGGTTGTTTGAGATCTTGTTTGTTTTCTTGTAACTGTTAATGAAAAAGATAAGAAAAGTATAAAATAAGCTAATTTGTGCTGAAAGCTGTTTGTAATGTACATAGAGTTGATAACAAACCTTGATAATTTGTGACGTCAAACAAAAGATTTCTAGAAT